TGGAGGCATCACGCTACTTGCCTTCAAACAGTATTACAAGTCTACAGTAACCAAAACAGCATGGTACTGATACCAAAACAGATATATAGAACAATGAAACAGAACAGAGCCCTCAGAAATAATGCCACACATCTACAACCATCTGATCTTTGACAAACCTGACAAAAACAAGCAATAGGGAAGGATTCCCTATTTAATAAATGATGTTGGGAAAACTGGCTAGCCATATGCAAAAAACTGAAACTGGACCCTTTCCTTACACTTTATATGAAAATTAACTCAAGACAGATTAAAGACTTAAACATAAGACCTAAAACCATAAAAACCCTAGAAGAGAACCTAGGCAACACCATTCAGGACGTAGGCATGGGCAAAGACTTCACGAAACACCAAAAGCAATGACAACAAAAGCCAAAATTGACAAATGGGATCTAATTAAACTAAAGAGCTTCTGCACAACAAAATAAACTAGGCTGGACGCAGTGGCTCACGCCTGTAATCCCAGCATTTCGGGAGGCCAAGCTGGATGGATCACAAGGTCAAGCGATTGAGACCATCCTGGCCAATATGGTGAAACTCTGTCTCTCCTAAAAATACAAAAATTAGCTGGGCGTGGGGGCACATGCCTGTAGTCCCAGCTACTTGGGAGGCTGAGGCAGGAGAATCACTTGAACCCAGGAGACGGAGGTTGTAGTGGGCAGAGATCATGTCGCTGCACTCTAGCCTGGTGACAGAACAAGACTCTGTCTAAAAAAAAAAAAAAAAAAAAAAAAAAAAAAGAAACTATCATCAGGGTGAACAGGCAACATAAAGAATGGGAGAAAATTTTTGCAATCTATCTATCTGACAAAGGTCCAATCTCCAGAATCTACAAAAAGCTTCAACAAATTTACAAGAAAAAAACAACTCCATCAAAAGGTGGGTGAAGGATATGAACAGACACTTCTCAAAAGAAGACATTTATGCAGCCAACAAACAGGAAAAGAAGCTCATCATCACTGGTCATTAGAGAAATGCAAATCAAAACCACAATGAGATACCATCTCATATCAGTTAGAATGGTGATCATTAAAAAGTCAGGAAACAACAGATGCTGGAGAGGATGTGGAGAAATAGGAATGCTTTTACACTGATGGTGGGAGTGTAAATTAGTTCAACCATTGTGGAAGACAGTAGGGCAATTCCTCAGGGATCTAGAACCAGAAATACCATTTGATCTAGCAATCCCATTATTGGGCATATACCCAAAGGATCATAAATCATTCTACTACAAAGACACATGCACACGTATGTTTATTGCAGCACTATTCACAATAGCAAAGACTTGGAACCAACCCAAATGCCCAGCAATGATAGACTGGATAAAGAAAATATGGCACATACACACCATGGAATACTATGCAGCCATAAAAAAGGATGAGTTCATGTCCTTTGCAGGGACATGAATGAAGCTGGAAACCATCATTCTCAGCAAACTAACACAAGAACAGAAAACCAAACACCCCATGTTCTCACTCATAAGTGGGAGTTGAACAATGGAAACACATGGACACAGGGAAGGGAACATTACACACTAGGGCCTGTCCAGGAGTGGGGGTGTAGAGGAGGGATAGCATTAGGAGAAATACCTAGTGTAGATGGCAGGTTGATGGGTGCAGCAAACCACCATGGCACATGCATACCTATGTAACAAACCTGCACATTCTGCACATGTATCCCAGAAGTTAAAGTATAATTTTAAAAAATTTAAAAAAGAAAGAAAATTATCTAGAACCCAAAATTATCCTGTAATTTTTTCACATACAGTGTCCAGACTCAATTATTTAAAGAGAAAGCAGAGACCAAACAACAACATGACTAGAAACCAAGGGAAAAAATCGACACAGGCTCAGAGGGGATTCAAATAATATAATCATCATGTGCCAATTTTTGAAACAGCTATTTTCTTACTCTGGGTTGTTACAGGGAAGTATCTTAGACTGGGTAATTTATAAACAACAGAAATTTATTGTTCACGGTTCAGGCTGGGAAGTGCAAGATCAAGATGCCAGCAGATTCAGCATTTGGTGAGGAGCTCTTCCTCATAGATAGCACCTTCTATGTGTCCTCACATGGGAGAAGGGGCAAACAAGCTCTCTCAAGCCTCTTTCATAAAAGGGCACTAATGCCAGGCATGGTGGCTCGCGCCTGTAATCCCAGCACTTTGGGAGGCCGAGGTAGGTGGATCATGACGTCGGGAAATCGAGACCATCCTGGCTAACACGGTGAAATCCCGTCTCTACTGAAAAAAAAAAAAAAAAAATTTAGCTGGTTGAGGTGGCGGGCACCTGTAGTCCCAGCTGCTCAGGAGGCTGAGGCAGGAGAATGGCATGAACCCAGAAGGCGGAGCTTGTGGTGAGCCGAGATCGCACCACTGCACTCCAGCCTGGGCAACAGAGCAATACTCTGTCTCAAAAAAAAAAAAAAAAAAAAAAAAAAGACACTAGTACCATTTGTGAGGGCAAAGCCCTTATGACCCAATCACCTCCCAGAGGTTGACCTTGGTGTTTAGGTTTCAACATATGAATCTATGGGAAAACACAAACATTTGGACCATAACATATACTTAACAATACAAAAAAGTAAAAGATAATATTGAGAATTTCTGTAAAGATCTTGTTAAAAAACATGAATTAATGGAAATCTAGTACTAAATACCACAATTTCTAAAATGAAGAACTTAATTGATGGGTTTAATACATTAGACTCAGGTGAAGGGAGAATTAATTATCTGGAAAATAGGCCAGAAAAGCACAGAGACAAAAGGATGGGCAAAAGTGAAAAGAATATAAAGACATATAAGGTATGATGAAAAAACAATTAATACATGTAATTAGAGTCCCAGAGGGAAAAAAGAAAGTAGAGAAAACAAACTGAGTAGATAAGTGATGAAAATTTTCTCAAATTGATGGAGATTTCAATCCATGCATCAGGAAGACCACTACCCTTAAGAAAGATAGATACAAACACCAGCACATCTAGGCACATGATAGGCAAACTGTTATACACCAAAACAAAGAGAAAATCTTGAAAACAGTCAGAGAAAAAACTACCTCCAAAACAGCAACAAGATTTACAATTGACTTCTCAGTGGAAATAATGGAAACCTGAAGACAACGTTCTACAGTGAATTCATTCATCCATGAGATAAATATTTAGTGAATATATGCTAGACACTGTGATAGGTACTTGGCAAACATCAGTGAACAAAACAAAGAATGAATATTACTTTTATTGTGTAAAATTATATAATAAACATTTTTAAGAGAAGGAATTAATTGTATAAAGCATGTCTGACAGTACATTTTAAAAATCTAGTTCATGTTTGCTGTTAGAATTATTATTTAAAAACTTGAGGCCAAGAGCAGTGGCCCCCACCTGTAATCCCACCACTTTGGGAAGCCAAGGTGGGAGGATTGCTTGAGCCCAGGAGTTTGAGCTAAGCCTGGGCAACATGGTGAAACTCTGTCTCTATAAGAAATACAAAAATTAGCCAGAAGTGGTGGCATGCACCTGTAGTCCCAGCTACTAGGGAGGCTGAGGTAGGAGGATTGCTTGAGCCTGGCTGGTTCAAGCTGCAGTGAGCATGACTGCACCATTGCACTCCAGCCTGAGTGACAGAGCAAGACTCTGTTTCAGGAAAAAATAAATAAATAAACAAATAAATATTTAAGTTAAAATTTAAAGTTAAACAAGCTAATGACTAGTACTTTTTCAGTGATGGATGATATTCTTTATAATCAAGCACAATCTATATATTAAGCTGCTAGGAAAAATCTAATAGATTTTGGGTAATTAAAAATCATAGAATTTCATAGCTAATCTTTCTTGGTGACCCTAGAGGTCATCTTGTCCAGACTACTCATTAGAGAGGAAAAGATCAAGGTGCAATGTGTTTAACTGACTTGCCCAAGGTCACACAAAGAGTTAAAAATATGGTTCCAATGACTCCTGGTCAAATGTTCTTTGTTGTTGTTTGATTTGCAAAATTATTTTTGGAAAGGGGAGGGTAATTTAATTTTTATCAATGGAACATGTACATATTTTAAAAAATAAAATGATTTCATAACACTTAAAAAGCAGCAGTCTCCTGCCCTTGCCCTGCGTATCTCTGAATTCCAGTCTCCAGAGAGAAACATGCTTAACTTCTAACACTAATATTATTAGTCTATTGTTTGATAGACTACTCTTTGTTGTATGATAGCTTATTTTTCAGTGCACACATCTTAAGTGTGTGAGAGGACTCCATTTTAGTCATTTAAACAGTACACAATTTTCATTTAAATGGTACAGGTAAAACAACAGATTACTGGTGATCCTGTTGCTATATGTAAGATAGGACTTTTAACTAATTTAATTGATTTTCATGTGTGATTTATGGAATGTCTTATTTCTTTACAGTTGAATACTGGTTGCAAGGGATTTGTGATTTCATAAATACATATCTTCAGAGAAGACAAGACTTGAATTTTACATTGCACATATTTTTTATGAGCATTAAAAGTATAAAAGGTTAAACTAAAAAATTTCCAAAGTTTCTAATATTTTAATTAAAGGGAATAAAAATGTCTTATAATTAATAAAACTGTTATAAATAAGTTAACACAGAAACTACATATAGCAAATAATTTTCATTTTGGTAGAATATTAAATATACTACCAACTTGCCTTTGCCTTTTGGAGTGATGTTTATTTTAGTCATCTCACTATTTGCTCTGTAATCTGGAAATTCTTGTGATGGAAACAGCCAAAGAATTGAAGATAAGAAAACACCAAATAGTGAAGAAAATATTTTTATTCACCTGGACTCCATTGAATTTATAGGAAAATGTATAAATCTAAAATCTAGTAATTGAAAATGCTATGGATATAGAGATATTATTTTTAGTGTAATTCTTTCCAATTTAAAACTACTTACATATATGTCATTTGCATAATGGATCATAAGACTGGTTACTTACATGAGACAAGAAGCTGGCTGTAGACTGGGAAGATGGTACATTAGAATGAGAACGAGTAACAGATGCTGGCTGGAGAAGGCGTGGTTTCAATGAAGAATTTGAGGTGTATCCAGGGCCCTGAAGTTCCTGGAAAACAATATAGAGGTGAGCAAAATAACTGCCAGCCTACAATTACAAAGAATTGTGAAATCGAAATGTATTTTTTGATTTCACAGACAAAATCCATCATTGAGATTTTAAAATATGTCTGTAGCTTTAAACTATACTTCTTAAAATAGACATATATTTCAGTGTAAAATGTACTATTTTAAAAAAACGTGTTTTGTCATGTAGATTACATCACTTTTGCTATTCCCCAAACAAGCAAATATATTTGCACTTAGGGTTTTGTACTCACTTGACTCCTGGGCATGGAAAACTCTTGCTTTGGGTATTCCCATGCAGGTACTAGTAAACTTGTTTGTATTTCACTCACTTATTTTAAACTAAGGATAGTAGTGCTTCTATCTGTTACCATATATGAAAAGGATAGGTATAGTATATAACAATGCATAGAGCTTATCATTGCTATTAATAGTAGCAGGTAATGTTGAAATATATTTGAATGTGTATCTACGGTACACAAGAGAATATAAAAGCATATCAAAGAAAGGCATTATTTTTGCTTAAACTACTATTTATGATGATCTTACTTTTATATCCAAAGTGTGTTGAAGTTTTAAGCGCACTGATTCTTGCTCCTGACGCTGTATTATATCTTGACATTCTGCAAACTGCAAAGATGCCTACAAAGGAGCAATCATAAATGGCTTATCTTCCATTCTTTATGCACTTATATTTTATTAACCTATAAATGCAGAGCTGCCATCTCTTCAAGAAATCTTCCTGTCCTTCCACCAAACTATATTACAATGATCTATTTATCTGTTTTATTCAGTGAACTGGGAGCAACTGGAGGCCATGTTTTTATCCTCTATACCCCCAGCAAATACATAGCTTTTAGTATGTGAAGGGCAAACAATGAATGAACTAAGGATGGAAAGAGCAAACAGTTTTACCAAAGTATAAAAATTTATATTAAAATAACCACCACTGGCTGGGCATGGTGGCTCACGCCTGTAATCCCAGCGCTTTGGGAGGCCGAGGCAGGCAGATCTTGAGGTCAGGAGATCGAGACCATCCTGGCTAACACAGTGAAACCGCGTCTCTACTAAAAATACAAAAATTAGCCGGGCGTGGTGGTGCACACCTGTAGTCCCAGCTACTTGGGAGACTGAGGCAGGAGAATCATTTGAACCCGGGAGGCAGAGGTTGCAGTGAGCTGAGATTGTGCCACTGCACTCCACCCTGGCGACAGAGCAAGACTCTGTCTCAAAATAAAATAAAATAAACTAACCACAACTGAAATTCACAGAGTCAATATAGCATGTTTTAAGAAACGAAGGTAGCAGAGGTGAGATCGCAAATTGTTGTATCTAACCATAAAAGCACTCCTTTCTTAGCAATCAAGGATGGTTTTGGAACAATTTTAGGCTTCCAGACTTTCTAGGTGACAGGAAGTAATATTTATTTTTCTACAATAAATGGCAATGAAAAACAGTATCACTGATCCTTCTCATTCTTTAAGCTATGTTTTCTATACGTACTTTCTGGACCCCACGAAGTGCCAGCCATTAGCATTACTTTATCATTTTATTGACATTATTAAGAGACTGCCTTCTACCAAGTGCCCAAGTCACTTTTTGGTGGTAAGTCAGGTGCTCATGGAGACATTTTTACTTATTCAGGTCACTAAGGGTATCAGGAACATCTTAACATCTTTGATCTTACTGCTCTGTGACTATGTTAGCCTGAAAAAGAAAACTTGGCAAAAAGTATGCATTATGACTATATTTTAAAATTCAGAAACGCCTTCTCTATAGGATAGGTATTTCCTCTGTGCTAGGTGATTGGGATACAACACAAATTGATACATTCAGTTCCTGTCTACACAGAGCTTTTGTTCAGAACAATTCTATTTGGTTAATAACTATTTAGTTGATAATTACTTTATATGTTTAGTTAATAATTACCTTATCCAGAGCAACTTCCATATTAGTAACCTTTTCTTTCAAACGGCGTTCTTGAGATCGCAGAACTTCCAACTCCCCAGCCATCTTGTTTTTTTCTGTGGCAACAGTACTCAATTCCTGACTGAGTTTACTCTTCTCTTCTTTCAGAAAATGTTTTTCCTACAATTATGTGAGAGAAAAATATCAGAAATCACCTGCTGATGTAGATGCTAAAAGGTAACAGAAATATAAAATTTTTGTTTAAGGGACCCAGAACTAGATAAGTTTAATTTATATGCCATTTAATTGCTTCTGAGTTGTGGTTGGGAGCTGATGGGAGTATGTTATTATGTACTCTCTCCTATTTTAATCATTGCTGGTGTTATTACTTCTTTCTAGTCTTAATACATCTTTGATAAAATCTACAAAATATGAAATTACTGTATTGTCCTAAAAAGACAATGTTTTAGTGAATTGGGATCAAATAATCGCATACCAAATTTTACTAAAATTTATTTTAAACAACAGAGATTTTTAAAATATGCATTACTTAAAAGTTTTATGGATTTCTATTTTGTTTCAAGGTTGAATATTCATTTCACAAATACCTACTGCAGACCCTGTGACAGAAAAACAAATGAGACATGTAGTTCCTGCCCGCAAGTCACTTAACAGCCCAATGATGACAGTGAGCTTACTGATCTAATACTCTCTGCTATTAAACAACATTTCATTAAAATTAGTTCATCCCTCCAAAAAAGCACCACGGAATATGTATATAAAAATAATAAATGTGTAGTTGTCAAGTTAAAATACAGACATCAGTTCATTGAGTCTACATTTCTTTAAATAGGTATTTTTTCATAGCGAAAAACGTTTATTGTAAATAAGGTAGAAGGTGTTGCTACTGTAAAATGCAAAAGAGTTTTCCTTTTCTGATTAGATTAGGCAGAAAAGGCTTCAGAAGGAAAGAGGGATTAATTGTATAGGCTTTCTCCTTTTCGTTTGGAGGGAATATCATAGAGCTATGATGAATATTTTCTTTTTGGCAGGGCAGGCATCTTTGTTGACAGCAGGCAGTAACCTCTTAAAGCTGTAAGTGCCATCAGGAAGGATAAGCACTGCTTTAGGTTCCCAAAGGCAAAAAAAAAAGGAGAAAGAAAAAAATGAATTCAGGATAAGAGAAAGGAAAGGAAGAAAAAATTGGAAAGAAGAAATAGAAAAAGAAGAAATAAGTCTACATGATAAGGGGTATGCACAAATGTAGGTTTATACTTGTTAATATTTAGTTGCAAATACTCTGAAGTATTTTGATAGCTCATCATGGATAGTAAATTAGCAATTACTTTGGTTGCATTTATTTTCTACTTGTTATTTACTTTATCACCTCTGTTATAGTCTGTTCTGTTATAAATCTTCTTCCAAAATACACACTTTTTCCAAAGTAATGGATATACCAGGGAACAGTTGAGTATTAGGCAAATTTCATGGTTGCTTATTCGTGAATGAGTCTCATTCATGAAAAACACTAGGTCAATGCAGAAAACTCAACCTAGCTAAACACAGCTGCATAGGAATACACAAGAAGCATACATGCACACCAACACCCACCTACCAGCTACCTCAGTTTTACCATGTGTTATGAACCACATCCATGCACATGTGGTGTTACAGGAAACTCTCCTTCTACTCCTCCACAATAACATACAAGCTGCATATACACTTAAGAAAACTTCTGGTCATTTTCAAGACAAAGAGCTATACTTATTGTTGTATTTATATTTATTTATTTATTTATTTATTTATTATTATTATTATACTTTAAGTTGTAGGGTACATGTGCACAACGTGCAGGTTTGTTACATATGTATACTTGTGCCATGTTGGTGGGCTGCACCCATCAACTCATCATTTACATCAGGTATAACTCCCAATGCAATCCCTCCCCCCTCCCCCCTCCCCATGATAGGCCCCGGTGTGTGATGTTCCCCTTCCCGAGTCCAAGTGATCTCATTGTTCAGTTCCCACCTATGAGTGAGAACATGCAGTGTTTGGTTTTCTGTTCTTGTGATACTTTGCTAAGAATGATGGTTTCCAGCTGCATCCATGTCCCTACAAAGGACACAAACTCATCCTTTTTTATGGCTGCATAGTATTCCATGGTGTATATGTGCCACATTTTCTTAATCCAATCTGTCACTGATGGACATTTGGGTTGATTCCAAGTCTTTGCTATTGTGAATAGTGCTGCAATAAACATACGTGTGCATGTGTCTTTATAGCAGCATAATTCATAATCCTTTGGGTATATACCCAGTAATGGGATGGCTGGGTCATATGGTACATCTAGTTCTAGATCCTTGAGGAATCGCCATACTGTTTTCCATAATGGTTGAACTAGTTTACAATCCCACCAACAGTGTAAAAGTGTTCCTATTTCTCCACATCCTCTCCAGCACCTGTTGTTTCCTGACTTTTGAATGATCGCCATTCTAACTGGTGTGAGATGGTATCTCATTGTGGTTTTGATTTGCATTTCTCTGATGGCCAGTGATGATGAGCATTTTTTCATGTGTCTGTTGGCTGTATGAATGTCTTCTTTTGAGAAATGTCTATTCATATCCTTTGCCCACTTTTTGATGGGGTTGTTTGTTTTTTTCTTGTAGATTTATTTAGTATGTGTAAAACTGCTATTGTTTTTATTAGGTTCCTATTTTTTTATGCATCACAAATGAATTTGTTAGTGTGGTGCTCCTGATCCCATTGTTCCCATAAGCCCTGTGGTTTTTATTACACAATTTTGCATAGCACAGCGATTTTAGAAACATGTATGTCACATTATAATGGAACTCACTGTATTTTGTTTATAATCATTTCTTGCCTCTACCAAGAATGTTCTTTTTCCCATTTCCCACGTTTTGTTTTGTTTTGTTTTGTTTTGTTTTGAATTGTGTCGTTCTTTTATCCAATAAAGAGAATATTCAATATATGGAATGGTTATTACCTAAACATTGTGTGCCCAGATTTGAACTAGATTCCATGGAATCTGACAATGTCTCATATTTACTTTATTTTGCATTTTAATAATTAAGCAGCTAGCAATGTTAACAGATTTTCATATGTATATTGATATATTTGTATTTCTTCTTTTATAAACTTTCCATTCATGTTTTTTGATCATTTGCATTATTAGTCTTTTTTTAAATTGATTTTTAAGGCCAAATCAATGCTGATTTGATCCTGATTCAAGTATAAGAATATTCTGAGAGCTTTAAAATATTATAAAAGTGTTGATTCTGGTTGGTTCTGATTTGAACTGATTCACTAATTGTTTTATTCATCCACTTAGCCACCATTCATCAGGCTTCTATTACATGTTCAAACTCAAACATTCTTATAGGCACTGGGAGATATAACAATAAGCTGCTGTTTCTATGGTCAAGTTGAATCACAGACCTGTAGCAGAGAAAAATAATGAGACAAGCAATTGTAGACAGGATCATTTTGCCATTAAAGAGATGTAGATTTTTTTTCTATTTGGCATACATTAACTTGCCTTTCCTAGTAAATAATGCTTTCCTTTTTTTTTCTATTTTTTTTTTTAATACTTTAAGTTCTAGGGTACATGTGCACAACGTGCAGGTTTGTTACATATGTATACATGTGCCATGTTGATGTGCTGCACCCATTAACTTGTCATTTACATTAGGTATATCTCCTAATGCTATCCCTGCCCCCTACCCCCTCCCCACAATACGACCTGGTGTGTGATGTTCCCCTTCCTGTGTTCAAGTGATCTCATTGTTCAATTCCCACCTATGAGTGAGAACGTGCGGTATTTGGTTTTCTGTTCTTGCGATAGTTTGCTGAGAATGATGGCTTCCAGCTGCATCCATGTCCCTACAAAGGACACGAACTCATCCTTTTTTATGGCTGCATAGTATTCCATAGTATATGTGCCACATTTTCTTAATCCAGTCTGTCACTGATGGACATTTGGGTTGATTCCAAGTCTTTGCTATTGTGAATAGTGCTGCAATAAACATACGTGTGCATGTGTTTTTATAGCAGCATAACTTATAATCCTTTGGGTATATCTCCAGTAATGGGATGGCTGGGTCAAATGGTATTTCTAGTTCTAGATCCTTGAGGAATCACTACACTGTTTTCCACAATGGTTGAATTAGTTTACAGTCCCACCAACAGTGTAAGAGTGTTCCTATTTCTCCACATCCTCTCCAGCACCTGTTGTCCCCTGATTTTTTAATGATTGTCATTCTAACTGGTGTGAGATGGTATCTCATTGTGGTTTTGATTTGCATTTCTCTGATGGCAAGTGATGAGGAGCATTTTTTCATGTGTCTGTTGGCTGTATGAATGTCTTCTTTTGAGAAGTGTCTGTTCATATCCTTTGCCCACTTTTTGATGGTGTTGTTTTTTTCTTGTAAATTTGATTGAGTTCTTTGTAGGTTCTGGATATTAGCTCTCTGTCAGATGAGTAGATTGCAAAAATTTTCTCCCATTCTGTAGGCTGCCTGTTCACTCTGATGGTAGTTTCTTTTCCTGTGCAGAAGCTCTTTAGTTTAATTAGATCCCATTTGTCAATTTTGGCTTTTGTTGCCATTGCTTTTGGTGTTTTAGACATGAAGTCCTTGCCCATGCCTATGTCCTGAATAGTATTACCTAGGTTTTCTTCTAGGGTTTTTATGGTTTTAGGTCTAACATTTAAGTCTCTAATCCATCTTGAATTAATTTTCGCATAAGGAGTAAGGAAAGGATCCAGTTTCAGCTTTCTACTTATGGCTAACCAGTTTTCCCAGCACCATTTATTAAATAGGGAATCCTTTCCCCCTTTCTTGTTTTTGTCAGGCTTGTCAAAGATCAGATGGCTGTAGACGTGTGGTATTATTTCTGAGGACTCTGTTCTGTTCCATTGGTCTATCTCTCTGTTTTGGTACCAGTACCATGCTGTTTTGGTTACTGTAGCCTTGTGGTATAGTTTGAAGTCAGGTGGCGTGATGCCTTCAGCTTGGTTCTTTTGGCTTAGGATTCTCTTGGCAATGCGGGGTCTTTTTTGGTTCCACATGAACTTTAAAGCAGTTTTTCCAATTCTGTGAAGAAAGTCATTGGTAGCTTAATGGGGATGGCATTGAATCTATAAATGACCTTGGGCAGTATGGCCATTTTCACAATATTGATTCTTCCTATCCATGAGCATGGTATGTTCTTCCATTTGTTTGTGTCCTCTTTTATTTCACTAAGCAGTGGTTTGTAGTTCTCCTTGAAGAGGTCCTTTACATCCCTTGTAAGTTAGATTCCTAGTTATTTTATTCTCTTTGAAGCTATTGTGAATGGGAGTTCATTCATGATTTGGCTCTCTGTTTGTCTGTTACTGGTGTATAAGAATGCTTGTGATTTTTTACAAAAAAACTAGCTGGGTGAGGTGGCGGGCGCCTGTAGTCCCAGCTGCTCGGGAGGCTGAGGCAGGAGAATGGCGTGAACCTGGGAGGCGGAGCTTGCAGTGAGCTGAGCTCCGGCCACCGCACTCCAGCGGGGGAAAAAGAAAAACCCCTCCTCAAAAAAAAAAAAAAAAAAAAAAAAAGAATGCTTGTGATTTTGCACATTTGTTTTCTATCCTGAGACTTTGCTGAAGTTTCTTATCAGGTTAAGGAGATTTTGGGCTGACACAATGGGGTTTTCTAAATATACAATCATGTCATCTGCAAACAGGGACAATTTGACTTCTTCTTTTCCTAACTGAATACCCTTGATTTCTTTCTCTTGCCTGATTGCCCTAGCCAGAAATTCCAACACTATGTTGAATAGGAGTGGTGAGAGAGGGCATCCTTGTCCTGTGCCAGTTTTCAAAGGGAATGCTTCCAGTTTTTGCCCATTCAGTATGATATTGGCTATGGATTTGTCATAAATAGCTCTTATTATTTTGAGATACGTTCCATCAATACTGAATTTATTGAGAGGTTTTAGCATGAAGGGCTGTTGAATTTTGTCAAAGGCCTCTTCTGCATCTATTGAGATAATCATGTGGTTTTTGTCTTTGGTTCTGTTTATATGCTGGATTACGTTTATTGAGTTGCATATGTTAAACCAGTCTTGCATCCCAGGGATGAAGCCCACTTGATCATGGTGGATAAGCTTTTTGATGTGCTGCTGGATTCAGTTTGCCAGTATTTTATTGAGGATTTTTGCATCGATGTTCATCAGGGATATTGGTCTAAAATTCTCTTTTTTTGTTGTATCTGTGCCAGGCTTTGGTATCAGGATGATGTTGGCCTTGTAAAATGAGTTAGGGAGGATTCCCTCTTTTTCTATTGATTGGAATAGTTTCAGAAGGAATGGTATCAACACCTCCTTGTACCTCTGGTAGAATTCGCCTGTGAATCTGTCTGGTCCTGGACTTTTTTTGTTGGTAGGCTATTAATTATTGCCTCAATTTCAGAGCTTGCTATTGGTCTATTCAGGCATTCAACTGCTTCCTGGTTTAGTCGTGGGAGAGTGTAAGTGTCCAGGAAATTATCCATTTCTCCTAGGTTTTCTAGTTTATTTGCATAGAGGTGTTTACAGTATTCTCTGATGGTAGTTTGTATTTCTGTGGGGTCGGTGGTGATATCCCCTTTATCATTTTTTATTGCATCTATTTGATTCTTCTCTCTTTTCTTCTTTATTAGTCTTGCTAGCGGTCTATCAGTTTTGTTGATGTTTTCAAAAAACCAGCTCCTGGATTCATTGATTTTTTTGGAAGGCTTTTTGCGTCTCCGTCTCCTTCAGTTCTGCTCTGATCTTAGTTATTTCTTGCCTTCTGCTAGCTTTTGAATGTGTTTGCTCTTGCTTCTCTAGTTCTTTTAATTGTGATGTTAGGGTATCAATTTTAGATCTTTCCTGCTTTCTCTTGTGGGCATTTAGTGCTATAAATTTCCCTCTACACACAGCTTTAAATGTGTCCTAGAGATTCTGGTATGTTGTATCTTTGTTCTCATTGGTTTCAAAGAACATCTTTATTTCTGTCTTCATTTCGTTATGTATCCAGTAGTCATTCAGGAGCAGGCTGCTCAGTTTCCATGTAGTTGAGTGGTTTTGATTGAGTTTCTTAGTCCTGAGTTCTAGTTTGATTGCACTGTGGTCTGAGAGACAGTTTGTTATAATTTCTGTTCTTTTACATTTGCTGAGGAGTGCTTTACTTCCAACTATGTGATCAATTTTGGAATAAGTGTGATGTGGTGCTGAGAAGAATGTATATTCTGTTGCTTTGGGGTGGAGAATTCTGTTGGCGTCTATTAGGTCCACTTGGTGCAGAGTTGAGTTCAATTCCTGGATATCCTTGTTAACTTTCTGTCTCATTGATCGGTCTAATGTTGACAGTGGGGTGTTAAAGTCTCCCATTATTATTGTACTGGAGTCTACATCTCTTTGTAAGTCTCTAAGGACATGCTTTATGAATCTGGGTGCTCCTGTATTGGGTGCATATATATTTAGGATAGTTAGCTCTTTCTGATGAATTGATCCCTTTACCATTATGTAATGGTCTTCTTTGTCTCTTGATCTTTGATGGTTTAAAGTCTGTTTTATCAGAGACTAGGATTGCAACCCCTGCTTTTTTTTTTGTTTGCCATTTGCTTGGTAGATCTTCCTCCATCCCTTTATTTTGAACCTATGTGTGTCTCTGCATGTGAGATGGGTCTCCTGAATACAGCAAACTGATGGGTTTGACTCTTTATCCAATTTGCCAGTCTGTGTCTTTTAATTGGACCATTTAGTCCATTTACATTTAAGCTTAATATTGTTATGTGTGAACTTAATGCTGTCATTATGACATTAGTTGGTTATTTTGCTCATTAGTTGATGCAGTTTCTTCCTAGCATCGATGGTCTTTACATTTTGGCATGTTTTTGCAATGGCTGGTACCTGTTGTTCCTTTCCATGTTTAGTGCTTCCTTCAGGATCTCTTGTAGGGCAGGCCTGGTGGTGACAAAATCTCTAAGCATTTGCTTGTCTGTAAAGGATTTTATTTATCCACTTATGAAACTTAGTTTGGCTGGATATGAAATTCTGGGTTGAAAATTCTTTTCTTTAAGAATGTTGAATATTGGCCCCCACTCTCTTCTGGCTTGGAGAGTTTCTGCCGAGAGATCTGCTGTTAGTCTGATGGGCTTCCCTTTATGGGTAATCCAACCTTTCTCTCTGGCTGCCCTTAACATTTTTTCCTTCATTTCAACTTTGGTGAATCTGACAGTTATGTGTCTTGGAGTTGCTCTTCTTGAGGAGTATCTTTGTGGTGTTCTTTGTATTTCCTGAATTTGAATGTTGACCTGCCTTACTAGGTTGGGGAAGTTCTACTGGATGATATCCTGCAGAGTGTTTTCCAACTTGGTTCCATTTTCCCCATCACTTTCAGGCACACCAATCAGATGTAGATTTGGTCTTTTCACATAATCCCATATTTCTTGGAGGCTTTGTTCATTTTCTTTTCTCTTTCTTCTCTACGCTTCTCTTCTCACTTCATTTCATTCATTTGATCTTCAATCTCTGATACTCTTTCTTCCAGTTGATCAAATCAGTTACTGAAGCTTGTGCATTTGTCACATAGTTCTCGTGTTATGGTTTTCATCTCTATCAGTTTTTTTTAAGGAGTTCTCTACATTGGTTATTCTACTTAGCCATTCATCAAATCTTTTTTCAAGGTTTTTAGTTTCTTTGTGCTGGTTACATAGGTCCTCCTTTAGCTCTAAGAAGTTTGATCGACTGAAGCTTTCTTCTCTCAATTCGTCAAAGTCATTCTCTGTCCAGCTTTGTTCCGTTCCTGGCGATGAGCTGCATTCCTTTGGAGGGGAAGATGCGCTCTGATTTTTTGAATTTCCAGCTTTTCTGCACTGCTTTTCCCCCATCTTTGTGGTTTTATCTGCCTTTTGTCTTTGATGATGCTGATGTACTGATGGGGTTTTGGTGTGTTTGTCCTTTCTGTTTGTTAGGTTTCCTTCTAACAGTCAGGACCCTCAGCTGCAGGTCTGTTGGAGTTTGCTTGAAGTTTACTCCAGACCCTGTTTGCCTGGGTATCAGCAGCGGAGGCTGCAGAAGATAGAATACTGCTGAACAGCGAGTATTGCTGTCTGATTTTTGCTCTAGAAGCTTCATCTCAGGGATGTACCCAGCCGTGTGAGGTGTGAGGTGTCAGTCTGCACCCAGTGGGGGATGTCTCCCAGTTAGGCTACTCAGGGGTCAGGGACCCACTTGAGCAGGCAGTCTGTCCGTTCTCAGATCTCAACCTCTGTGCTGGGAGATCCACTGCTCTCTTCAAAGCTGTCAGACAGGGACGTTTACCTCTGCTGAGGTTTCTGCTACTTTTTGTTTAGCTATGCCCTGTCCCCAGAGGAGGAGTGTACAGAGGCAGGTAGGCCTCCTTGAGCTGTGGTGGGCTCCACCCAATTCGAGCTTCCCAGCAGCTTTGTTTACCTACTTAAGGCTCAGCAATGGTGGGCACCCCTCCCCCAGCCTCGTTGCTGCCTTGCAGTTAGATTTCAGACTGTTGTGCTAGCAATGAGGGAGGCTCCGTGGGTGTGGGACCCTCCGGGCCAGGTGTGGGATATAATCTCCTTGTGTGCCATTTGCTAAGACCCTTGGTAAAGCGCAGTATTAGGGTGGGAGTTACTCCATTTTCCAGGTGTTGTGTGTCTTACTTTCCTTTTGCTAGGAAAAGGAATTCCTTTCCCTCTTGTGCTTCCCAGGTGAGGTGATACCTCGCCCTGCTTCAGCTCTTGCTGGTCAGGCTGCACCTGTGGACCAGCACCAACTGTCCGACACGCCCCAGTGAGATGAACGCAGTACCTTAGTTGAAAATGCAGAAATCACCCATCTTCTGTGTCGCTCACGCTGGGAGCTGGAGGCTGGAGCTGTTCCTATTCGGCCATCTTGGGCATGCCCCCCCATGTTTAAAATAGTAGCTGTCTTTCAACATTCTGCTCAAATGCTTTTCTAGGAACTTTTCCCTTGTTCTGTCACCTAGAAATAAGCTTTCCTCTTCCCCTTGCACTTTGCATCTCTGCTTCATCTTATTCTGCCTTGTGGTCTGTCCGTGAGTGAACATGTTGGTTTCCCCATTCTGAGGACAGTGACCCACCTTATTTGCATTTGTCATTGCCTCTTCCAAAAACTGTATCTTGCTCTGAAGGGCATCTATCTGACCTCTTTTGGCTGTGATTTGCTTTTGCATCCCCATTGCCACTTTCATAGCTGGAAAAAAAAAAGAGGCAAACTATGCCTTAGGTTCTTAAGTTTGAGAGACTATGGTAATTTGATGGTTAAACTTTATGAGAAGGTGACAAGTAAGATCCTCCAAGGTATCTGGGCAGTTTCAAGGAAAAGATCATGGACAAATGTCTTTGGTTTTCATAATATTGGAATATAATAACTTTTAACTAATACTAGAGATTTTTAGCTGGGAAACATACATACAATCATGTTTTACAGGGTTTTTGCCACTGGGATTAATTTCATTGACCATGATACGTTGCCATCTTTCCAGTAATAACATTGACTAAACTCATACTTACACATGTAGAGAAATTTATAATATATAATACATGTGTGTGTATAGATATGGGAGGTGTCACATAAAGAATAACATATATTGTTTTATTACTAAAATGATTTTTCCAGAAACTCATACTTAAAATACTGCATGAGACATCTAGTGTATCTTTTTAAAGGGTCCATGATATCACAAACCCTCCAATTTTTAGTCTCATGATTGTTGTCATGTGCTTGGAACTCACTACCATCTCAGTAGCCAAACTGCCAGCATAAGCATATCTGATTTTTTTTTCATATAGTCAGCTGAGGAAAACGGACTGAAAATGCCACAGCTTAGAGTCCAGTCTGGCTATAACTTAGAGGTTAAAAAGAAAAATGAAAATATACCATTCATTATAAACAAGCCATCAGAATGAAAGGTCTGACTTCTCATTAACAAGATATAGTTCTATCTAAACTGTCAAAACAGGGACTGTATGTTGATTTATTAACAGGTTAAAAGTCTGACATCATTTGCTCACCACTTTGAAGAATTATGGGCTGATTAAGTGGATCATGGTTGGCCTTGAAAGGTAATTTTCTCAAACAAATGTTTTTTTTTTTTAATTTAAAGTTGATTTTAAAAAATAAAAACAAGAATTTGAATGAGAATACAAGGGTTCTCTGGCTAACTTAATAATTGTAATGTCCCTGGGGTGGTTGTGAAGATGCCCGACAGTAAGGCAGGGTTGCTGTCTGGGGAGTAGGGACAGCAGACCCCAAAAGACCTCTCGAGCGACTTCTCCAAACCCAACGAGTTTATCTGTGTTAACCAGTAAAGGGCCAAACCACACAAAATATGAAACACATCAAGAATTTGTGGTCGTCCTTGCACAGAGACTATGGTAATCTTCTTTATATTGTTCTAATTTTAGTATAAGTGCTGCCAAAGTGAGCACAAAAATAAATCTTCTGATATTAAAAAATATTGAGAAATGGGAAAATGTACACTTTAATTAGACAAATATTAATTCCTATGGTCAGCTAATATGGTCATGTCAACAATTATATGAATAACATGAACTGGAAGATAACCTTTTTATCTCTCTGCATTAGTATGGGCAGCAAGGTAAAAGGGGAATAAGTATAGGTGGTGAGAAGAGTCCCCTCACCTAACAATTCAATTTCCAGGATTCCTTCTCATTTTTATCACAGTGAAGGAATCAAGAACTGCCAACTAGCCACAGACCTACAGTTTATATAATGTACATGTTGAAAAATAAAGGGTTGAATGGAAATTACTGGTAACTTGTATTTATATCCTTAAAAATAATTACTTGACATTAATAGATACTGAGATCTGTTAGAAATTACTGAAATAGCCACAGGAAAGGAAAGATTCAGATAGTTTAGGGATTAAATTAACTCCATGGCAATTTCCCTAAAAACAATTAACTACTGCTACATAACATCCATCATCAATACCTACTATTGTATATTTCTCATATCATTTAGCACTGTGAAGAGGTGGTAGGTAATGTATTTGGGTTTGTGTTTTAACGAATTTAGACCATTAAATTAAAAACAGAAGAAAAATTTTACATCTAACAGAGCATACCATGACCATCAGATCCTTCCATTGACTTTAATGTATTTCTTGTCTGTTCTAGTTCAGACTGTGCAGATTTTAACTGCATTTTCAGCTTATTTGTAGTCATTTCCATTTCTTCACTTTTGTTTCGGAAATTCCTTTTTAAGACTTCATACTCCTCTATATAATGTGATAATCAATAACAGATGGTTACTTTTTCTATCCCATTGTTAATAGGTACATTTTATCTGTAATTAATGATCACAGAATTCTAGAACTGGAAGATAACTCATTTAATTACATCTTCCTTTGTTACAGAAATGAAATGTACATACACAATTCCAGGGATATGACTCTTTCTTTTTAATCTGCTTGGGTGGATCCTATTCCTCCTTTACTCACTTACTACTCATTGTTTTTTCCCAAACATTGTAATTAGTTTGCAGTTATTTCATCTTAAACCTTCTTCTTGGATGACCATGTCCACTAGAGTAGACTTAAACCACCATCTGCTGGTAGATGAATCTCCATGACACTACAAATAACCTGAGGCTGCCATCTGTCTTATCTGACTTATCTCCAGTATCTATGAAAATACCTGGCACAAATTCATCGTTTGATATACTAGAGTATACACACACACACACACACACACATTTATTTATATGTATCTACTTATATGATTAGATTTATATGTAAAAGGATCAAAGCTCCAGCTCCTTTTGTCCAGACATCTCCATGTAGATGTCCTCGTGCTACCTGAAACCAACTGCCTCACAGTGACTATATCTCATCCTCCAGCCCTCAAGCCTGCCTTTCCTTCTGGTTCCCTCTCTCAGTTGCTGAGACTGATTTTCCAATACCACAAACTGAAATCCTGAAACCTACACTTAATCCCTGCAACAACTAAGTCCTGTTGATTTAACCTCCAAAAATATTCTTAATTCTTTCCTTCCATTCTCACTGCCACTGCCTTAGTTCAAGTCCTCATTCTATTTATCTGGGACTACTGCAAAAATCCTCCTTAACTGCTTGGTCTGCCTTTCTTTTCTCTAATTTACTTACTAACACAGTCCATCTAAAATCTGACAAAAAATCTCCTACTTAATATCCTTTGTGGGCTCCACATTACCCAGCTCTACCTATCTATTCTGCCTTATTTCTTAGCCCTCATTCATTTGTACTTTTGCTCCAGGTAATACTTCTCAGGTCACATTTTGATATTTCATGGCTTCATGCATTTGCCCATAATGTTCTCTCTGCCTAGAATGTCCCTTGCACTTCTTTTTCACCTGCCGAATTCCTTTTCCTCTTTCAAGCCCAGTACAGACGTCACTCCCTACAGGAGGTAAATTCTGTATCCTCTGTGCTATCTTTGTACTCAATAACTTTCATTGTGCCTCACACACTGGTTTATCTAGGTTTATCTCCCCACTAGACTATGAGCTTCATTGTGGGGTTTCCAAGTTCTATCACAGTGTCTTGCACATAGTAAATGCTCAGTAACTTCTGACTTTATGAAGTACATGATACTTCATACCATATTGATATGGTTTGGCTCCGTGTTCTGACCCAAATCTCATGTCCTATTGTAATTCCCAGTGTTGGAGGAGGGGCCTTGTGGGAGGTGATTGGATCATGGGGAAGGATTTCCCCCTTGCTGTTCTTGTGATAGTGTGTGAGTTCTCATGAGATCTGGTTGTTTGAAAGTGTGTAGCACCTCCCTCTTCACTCTCTCTCTCTTTCTACTGCTACCATGTGAAGATGTGCTTGCTTCCCCTTCACCTTCCACCATGATTATGTTTTCTGAGACCTACCAGCCATGCTTTCTGTGCAGCCTGCAGAACTGTGAGTCAATTAAACCTCTTTTCTTCACAAATTACTCATTCTCAGGTAGTTCTTTATAGCAATGCAAAAAATGAACTAATACAGAAAATTGGTACCAGAGAAGTAGGATACTGCTCTCCAGATACCTGAAAATGTGAAAGTAGCTTTGGAAGTGGGTAACAGATACAGGTTGTAACAGTTTGGAGAGATCAGAAGACAGGAAGATGTGGGAAAGTTTGGAACTTCCTAGAAACTTGTTAAATTGTTGTGACCAAAATGCTGACAGTGATATGAACAATGAATTCCAGGCTGAAGAAGTCTCAGATGGAGATGAGGAACTTATTGGGAACTGAAGTAAAGATCATTCTTGCTATGCTTTAGCAAAGAGATTGGCAGCACTGTGCCCCTGCTCTAGGAATCTATGGAACTTTGAACTTGAGAGAGGTGATTTAGGGTATCTAGCAAAAGAAATTTCTAAGCAGCAAAGTGTTCAAGATGTGGCCTGGCTGCTCCTAAAAGCCTATGCTCATTTGCATTAAAAAAGAAATAACCTGAAGCTAGAACTTATATTTAAAAGGGAAGTAGAGCAAAAAAGTTTGGAAAATTTGCAGCCCAACCATGCAGTTGAAAAGAAAAATCAATTTTCTGGGGAGAAATTCAAGGCTGCAGAAATTTGCATAAGAGGAGCCAAATGTTCATAGCCAAGACAATGGGGAAAATGCCTCCAGGTCATTTCAGAGACCTTCTCAGAAGCCACTCCCATCACTTGCCTGGAGGCCTAGAAGGGAAAAAATCATTTCGTGGGCCGGATCCAGAGCCCTGCTGCTCCAGGCAGTCTTGGGACATGGTGCCTGGCATTTCAGCTGCTCCAATTCCAACTGTGGTTAACAGGGGCCAAGGCCCAGCTCGGGCTGTTTCAGAGAGTGCAAGCCCCAAGCCTTGGCAGCTTCCATGTGGTGTTGGGGCTGTGGGTGTACAGAGGGCAAGAGTTGAGGCTTGGGAGTCTCCATCTAGATTTCAGAGGATATATGTAAATGCCTAGATGTCCAGGCAGAAGTCTGCTGCAGGAGCAGAGCCCTCACGGAGAACCCCCACTAGGGAAGTGCAGAGGGGAAATGTGGGGTTGGGACCCCCACACAGAGCCTGCACTGGAGCACTGCCCAGTGGAGCCATGAGAAGTGGGCCACTGTCCTCCACACCCCAGAATGGTAGATCCACAGATCCACTGACAGCTTTGCACTGTGTGCCTGGAAAAGTCACAGGCACTCAGTGCCAGCCCATGAAAGCAGCCAGGGGGGCTGTACCCTGCAGAGTCACAGAGGCAGAGCTGCCCAAGGCTTTGGAAGCCCACCCCTTACATCAGCATGCCCTGAATGTGAGACATGGAGTCAAAGGAGATTATTTTAAAGCTTAGAAATTTAATGACTGCCCTGTAGGGTTTCGGACTTGCATGGGCCCTGTAGCCCCTTTGCTTTGGCCAATTTATCTCTTTTGGAACAGGAACATCTACCCAATACCAGTACCCTCAATATATCTTGGAAGTAACTAACTTGTTTTTTATTTTACAGGCTCATAGGTAGAAGGGATTTGCCTTGTCTCAGATGAGACTTTGGACTTGGACTTTTGAGTTAATGCTGGAATGAGTGAAGACTTTGGGGGACTATTGGGAAGGCGTGACTGTGTTTTGAAATGTAAGAAGGACATGAGATTTGGGAGGGCCCAGGGGCAGAATGATATGGTTTGGCTCAGTGTCCCGACTCAAATCTCATGTCCTGCTGTAATTCCCAGTGTTGGAGGAGGGGCCTTGTGGAAAGTGACTGGCTCATGAGGGCAGATTACTCCCTTGCTGTTCTTGTGACAGTGAGTGAGTTCTCATGTGATCTGGTTGTTTCAAAGTGTGTAGCACCTCCCCCTTTGTGTGCTCTCTCTCTCTCTCTCTCCTGCTGCCATGTGAATATGTGCTTGCTTCTCCGTCATCTTCCATGATTTTAAGTTTCCCGAGGCCTCCAAACCATGCTTCCTGTACAGCCTGCAGAACTGTGAGTCAATTAAACCTCGTTTCTTTATAAATACCTAGTCTTGGCTGAGTGCAGTGGCTCATGCCTGTAATCCCAGCACTTTGGGAGGCCAAGGCAGGTGGTTCACGAGGTCAGGAGATGGAGACCATCCTGGCTAACATGGTGAAACCCCATCTCTATTAAAAATACAAAAAATTAGCCAGGGGTGGTGGTGGGCACCTGTTGTCTCAGTTACTCAGGAGGCTGAGGCAGGAGAATGGCATGAACCCGGGAGGCGGAGCTTGCAGTGAGCTGAGATCGCACCACTGCACTCTAGCCTGGACAACAGAGTGAGACTCTGTCTCAAAAAAAAAAAAAAATGAAATAAATTACCCAGTCTGAGGTAGTTCTTTACAGCAATGCAAGAAGGGACTAATACACATACCAATCACAAACTGGAGTGTCTCACAGTTTAACGTAAAGCCATGGCTTTTTCCTTTCAATAAATTCACATGTCTATTTTCACATGTCACTTAGTAAACCTCTAATCAAGCTATTTGACTCAAAGGACTCAAGGTTTCCACTTTCATAAACACAAAACTGTGCAAACAATGTGATTTATGTGAACATCTGTTTTCCTTTTGGAAGCCTGGACTCTGGATACCTTACACTTCTCTTGGAAATTCAGTACAGAATTTCCAGTATACTGAGGGCTGACTAAAGTTAAGGTCAGTAAGTGTAAGATGTGAAAGCTCTTCATGAGAACTATGAGATTTCATGCTATGAATAACTCCATGGGGGCAACATAACAATTTATGTTTGTCATGTGAGTGAGACACCCTTCTTTTGCAATTGTGCTAGGGTCTACATTGGCTTCACTGATAAGACTTTTATTTTTTAGTAGGATTTGCCCTGAAGCAACATACCTGAAAGACTGTTTAATTCATTCCTACTTGTTTTCACCTCATTTAATAATTGATCTCTCTCTTGTTTGATGTCCTTCACTGCACGGAGTCGCTCAGAGCCTGCATTCACCAGCTTCACTTTTTCCAGCTCCAAGTCACTCACTCTGGCCTCAAGCTCCCGGATCTTTGCATCTTTTTTATCTTTTAAAATCTAAATATATGGATAAATACAAATGATAGATATAGAAGTAAAAAATATGTACATGTATAGTTATAATTGATATCTGCTAACACAGTCCTAAAATCTGACAACAGTCTCCTACTTAATATCCTTTTCTGCCCTCTATCTGTATTCCATCTATATTTATTATCTTTTCATTACTTCTCAGGACACTAAATTTGTATTTTATTATAAAGCATCAATAGAAAGTGGGAAAAATATTTCACTTTCTTTTAACCTTAGATGTCAATTCCTAATATTGCTTGAAACAACCCTTCATTATTCCTATTCTATCTATTCATTCAAAAAATACATATTAAGAACCTTCTTTGTGGCAGGAAATATTTTACATGCAAGAGATATAGAAGCAGGGCTATGACCAGGGTAATGCAAGTGAGGCAGCCAGGTGAGGGCCTCCAACCTGGGCACCTGACTTACCTTACCCTAGTCCTGGCCCTGGATAGCAATAGACAAAACAATGGCTTTGTCTTCATGGCCTCCTCTAGTAAGAAGAGAAGAAAAACAAATATTTAATATGTCAGGTAAGAGGAGTGGCAAGAATAATAATAAAAGCTGGTGAGGGGTACAGAATGAATGCAAGGGAGGGGTTGCTACTCGAGGTAAGCTGGTGTGCAGAAAGAGTTCATACAGCAAGTTTGGGGGCTCTCCTTAGAAAGGCCGGCTTACGAGGTTGGCCCTTGACTGTCTTCTGGGAACTTGGATTTTGGGAGGGTTCCCACCACCCTAATAAGAGTGGCTCAGGGTGCCTAAACTGTTTGTGCAAACAATGTGGTTTATGCTGAACCCCTGTTTTCCTTCTGGGAGCCTGGAATCTGGATACCTACCAGGTAGAGGGGCCTATGGGACCAATCTCCAATATAAAAACCCGGGCACTGAGGCTTTAATGAGCTTCTCTGGTTAGCAACACTTGACAGGTGTTGTCACAGTGTCTTACTGGGGCAGGGAGTGGAGTAGGAAGTAAGCATGTCCTGCATAACTCTACTAGTAGAGGGCTCTTGGAAGCTCAGCCTGGCCTTATCTGGATTTTGCCCCATGTGCCTTTTCATTTTGCTGATTTTGCTTTGTATCCTTTCACTGTAATAAATCCTAGCCTTGTGTATGATTATATGCTGAGTCTGGCGAGTCCTCCTAGGGAATCATCAAATCTGGGGTCAGTCTTGGGGACTCTGCCACAGTTGGCAAGGAAAGGCCTCTCTGATGACATAACATCTAAGCAGATGCTCAAGGAGCATAAGGACAAGCCACATGGACAGTCTGGGAAGAGCTCTGGGGTGAGTAGGAGATGAAATCAGAGAGGGACCAAGGGAAAGATCAGGTTGCTTAGAGGCAATGCAAGAACTTGAGCATTCATTGTGAGTCAAGAAGTCATTGGACAGTTTTGAGTATGAGAGTGATGTAGTGTAACGATTTAAAAATACAACTCTGGCTCTAGTATGAAGGAAAACAGTGGTTGGTGTGGGGGTAGGGGGAGAAGCATGCAGACCAGTGAGAAGGCAACTGGAAGACCAAACAAGAGAGGTGGGAGCTTAGACTGGGGTGGTTTTGGTGGTGAAAGTATCTGGTCCTTTGAATAGAGTAGGAAATGTGAATATAACAACTCTAATTCGGCATTTCCAACTGTCAGAAACCCCCAGCATGGCATGCTTCTGCAGACTCTGACCCAAACATTCCTATTCCTTCTTCAGAGGGCTTTCCCCTATAGTCCTTTCTGACTCTTCTCTGTTAGAGGCACTACCATGTTGCCAGTCTAAGTTTGAACTCACAAAGTCGCCATGTCTTTCCCTGTCCCTCACCCCTCATACCCAGCTGTTGACCAAATCCTGCCCAACCTCCAGGTCTGGATTGCCATCACTTTGCATATGGACTGCCACAGTGCCTGCTAACTTTCACATTTCTTTTTATGTATCTACTAGAAAACTTAAAATTATATATGTCACTTACACTGTATTTCTGGTGGACAGAACTGACCTAGATCCTTCTAAATAAGTGACATTTGAAAAAAAAAATTGACTTTCTTTGGTCATCAGATTGTTTCTCCAAATTATTCCCCTACTGGCCTTAGTATCCTGACAGATGCGATTTGACTGCTATAGCAGCAGTTTAACTGCGGAGACCAGTGATACATCTGAAATATAGCCACGTGACAAGCTTCTGGCTGTTCAAAAAGGATTGGCGGGGAGCTCCAGGCTTGTCTCACTACCCGTCTGTGATGGGTTTGGGAAGTAAGGGCCCTAATCTGGGCTATCTGATCTCTGCCTAGCTACTCCTGGCAACTGTCACACTAAATCCAGCTGGCCTCATGCAGTAAGGGATGGGGAGGGATTTCCCTGGGACAACCTAAGGCATCACAACACACACAGGATGAGTGCTGCTCCTGTTCCACCTCTTGAGGCCAGCTGATAGAATTCATCCTTTCTTAGTCTTATTATTTATTTGTTTTTAAGAAAGGTCTAGCTCTGGGGCCCACAGTTATTGAAATAAAAGTCACTCTGCTTCTCTGCTGTCAGTGTGTGCAGTACCCACTCTGAAGAGGTGACAGAAACCAGGAGAGAAACCGTATCTTCTAGGGCTACAATTCCCCCAGCTTTTTTTCTTACCAGATCACAGAAGGAAGTGGATGTGGCTTTAGGACTTGAGTTTTAAACTTATGTTCTTTGTGTCCGTGTGAAACTCTACTTACCTAGGAAATTATTCCCTGAAGCTGCTCCAGCTCCATATTTAGGAACTGAAAATTAGTTTTACTCTCTCTAAGCCACTTCTGCATACTGATGCTAGATTAATCCGCTTCCAACACTGCCTTCTTCATGTTACCCCCTCCTTCCTACCCCTAAACCTTTAATATCTCCCACACCATCTCTAGGCTAAATTAAGGACTAGGCTTCTCCCCGGGCTTGGAACGCCATCCTTCCTTCTCTTTGCCTAGTTTTTGCCCATTTCAGGTTCCCAGCTCTCTCTGAAGCTTTCACTGGCCCTCGAGTCATGAGCTCCACATTCCTTTGAGGCACTAACACAGATCCTGATGGATGCTCTCAGGACTAGCAGTATCCACATCATCTGGAAACTTGTTCAGAAACACCAAATCTCGAACCCCATCCTAGTCCTACTGAATCAGAAACTCTGGGAGCAGGCCAGCAGTCTGTGCCTTAAAAAGTCTTCCAGGTGATTCTGGTTCTCACTGAGAACCACTGCACACAGTAACATCTACTTAGGCTGCCTAGGTTCAAACCACAAGGTAGTGCTGCTCTCCAGCAAGTTAAACTCTCTGTGTCTCAGTTTCCTTAGCTGTAAAATGGGATAATAATAGTGCCTCCCTCATAAAGTTTTGTGAGGATTAAACTGAGTTAAATTTTAGAGTATAAGAGTGGGATTCTCGAGTTTAGAACTTTAACACGCTAGCAATCTACTAGCGATCTTCCTAAGCAAGGTAGAACCATCCTTTCTCCTCTGATATGCTCTGCCCTGCATCACACCTATTCTAAGGATTTCATTGTAGGACTGGCCATTGAGAATCCTTTCTATGTCCCTTTTCATGGTGAGTTTGGCCATTCAAAAATGTATATAATCACCGGGTGCGGTGGCTCACGCCTGTAATCCCAGCACTTTGGGAGGCCAAGGCAGGTGGATCACAAGGTCAGGAGATCGAGACCATCCTGGCTAACATGGTGAAACCCCATCTCTACTAAAAACACACACACAAAAAATTAGCCGGGTGTGATGGCACATGCTTGTAGTTCCAGCTACTCGGGAGGCTGAGGCAGGAGAATGGCATGAACTCGGGAGGCGGAGCTTGCAGTGAGCCAAGATCACGCCACTGTACTCCAGCCTGGGCGACAAGAGCGAGATTCCATCTCAAAAAAAAAAAAAAAAAAATGTATATAATCAAGTAAAAACTTAAGCAATAGAAAATTCTATTTCTTTAATGCAATGAACTTGTGTATTTCCATAAGATGGATAATTATCTATTGTTGGCCCTATTTTTAGAAGCAGGAAATTGAGGCATCTACAGTATATGTGATTTGTCTCCTACTCCTCACCAAGTCAGACATAAAGGTGACATAAATCCTACGAAATCAATTTTAAAAAAACATAAAGTCGTGTTAAATTTTGATAAATATTTATCGAGCACCTTCTGGGTGCAAGGCACAAAAATATGGGGCAGGAGGTACAAAGACTAATAAGATGTGTACCCTGGTTGAAGAAGTCTACAATCTTGTAGGGAAAAGGAGACACTGCTACATAAACACACTCACACAGACACAGACACACACACACACACAGAGATACGGCAATATAAAATGTGAACCAGGTTTTACCAGGTACAAATAAAGTATGAGAAAGTTCAGAAGGAGACTAAAACAGGGGAAAGAAACTAATATTTATTAAATTTTAAATTATTAAGTTATTTAAATTTTAAATTATTAAATAGCCAGAAACTATTAACAGGCTCATTCCTTGATATATATTTTCTGATTTAAGCCTCACAGTAACCCAACAGGTTGTTGGGGGTTTTTTGTTTTGTTTACTTTTTGGTTTGGTTTTGTTTATCAGATATAGAAGCCAAGATTCAGCACATAGTCCAGTGTTTCATCGTAACTAAGCAGTGAGAGACGGGGTTCAAATTTAGGTGTGTCTGAAGAGGGAGAAAATACTTCAAACTGTGGTATCAGGAAACACTTCATAGATTTTCTGATCTTTTTTCTCTCGTACCCATGATTTTGAGCCGTTTTCAAGTCATCTATTCCTTCTGTAATCTGAAGGAATTTATCCTTTCTCACAAAACTTTCTCACAAAAACACACATATGCACATAGAAACAAACACCTTCCAACAGTTTCAGGGTGTCCACAGATACCAAGAACCACTTTCCAGTACAGGTCATACCTGGTGATAAGAGAAATGATATTTCAGAAGTTAAACCACAAGAAAACTCTACAGACCTTAAGTTCCTTTAGTTCCATCCGCCTATCATTAATTTCTTTCTCCAGTTGAGCTTTTTCTACTTGCATAGCTCCAGCAGTTCGTCCATGCTGACCCACCAGCTGCGTCATGTTCTCAATCTGCTGTCGCAGAATCTCGATCACCTTGTCCTTCTCTGTCATCTGCAGTTTGAGGGCCTCGCATTCTGTCTGCACATTTCTGAGGTGATCCCCTTCATTTTTCAAGTGTTGCAGCTCCTGCAATTTCAAGTCCACCCGAGAGCGGAGCTTTGTGATCTCTGCGTTGGTAGCCTCGATGGCTCTCTCTTTTTCCTGGAGAGAAGTGGTCAGGTCTGATATTGTCCTCTCTGAGCTCTCCAGAGTCATCTTCTTGGCTGTCAACTCTTCTACTACTTTGCGCAGCATCTCTTTGGTGGATTCAAGCTGAGCAGTCAAGGAAGATACTTTTTCCAGACTTTCATTCTTTCCTTGAATTGCTGCCATCTGATTGTTAAAGAAAAGAGAATTTCATGGATTTGGGAGGATAGGTATAGGCAACCTCGAGAGATACAAGTAAACTTAAAAGCATGAAATCATGAAGTAGGCAATGTTTAGTAAGTTTTTTTTTTTTTTTTTTTAAGAGATGGGGGTCTCACTATGTTCCCCAGGTTGGTCTTCTCAAATTCCCAGCCTCAAGTGATCTCCTGCTTCGGCCTCCCAAAGTGCTGGGATTTCAGGCATAAGCCACTGTACCCAACCATGTCTAGTTAAATTAACTCAATCATTTTGCTGTCAGAACTCTAGCTCTTATAACATATGTAAGACTGACATATGCTAATTAGACCAAGGTGGAGAGGGCTTAAATAATGCTCCTCCACAATGGTGTTCTAGAGCGCGGTCTTGGGAAGTTTCCTCTGTGGATGTTTTCTGTACTGATTTAGATTAAGATAACCCTGGCGATGGGGGGAAGCGTGGTGGAATTTACAGTAACTACCCCTTTACTTTTAATTTCCCTCCAACTTTACCTTTAATTCTACCTCTGAGGAAAAAAATGAATAATGGCTTTTATCCACACACACATTCATATTCTCTCATCCTTGTTTGGAAAAGCTGAAAATTCTGACTTCTAGTTGGTCCTTTCATCTTTCTTCTTGCCCAGGTTAAGCCAGAGAGTAGGTTAATGGCTTTGCCTGGGTCTAAGCCAAGACTGGTCCCTTGGTTTGCTTTCACATTCTGAGAAGCTTACACTTTTGTGGGATGCTTTTTATGTCCCTGTGGCAGTAACTGGCATCAGAACCATGTATTCCTAGCACAGAAAGTACACTGCTATTAAGAAGGCAGTCCATGTTTTGCTCTTGGTGGGTGCACCGGAATGAAATGCACTCATCAGTCTCAATCAGTGCTGAGGTTCGGGGGAAGAGAGGAAAGTCTCTTTCGGGAGAAAAATAAAGCAAAAAAAATCTGTTAGAAACCTTCAACCCTGTTGCTCCTCAGGCTGCCCAATAATTTGATGCTTCTATGCAGCAGAAATAAGCAATTATTAGGTTACCAATTGTTAGGTAAAAGTGAAAAGGCAATTGGATAGGAGTTTAGTTTTTCAACAATGTACAAGTGAGATAAAGCTTGACACATTTAGTTTAATTAGTGGAGATATATATATAGTCCAGCACGGTGGCTCATGCCTGTAATCCCAGCCCTTTGGGAGGCTGAGGCAGGTGGATCACCTGAGGTCAGAAGTTCATGACCAGCCTGGCCAACATGATGAAACCCCATTTCTACTAAAAATACAAAAATTAGCTGGGCGTGGTGGCGCATGCCTGTAATCCCAGCTACTTGGGAGGCTGAGGCAGGAGAATTGCTTGAACCTGGGAGGCAGAGGTTGCAGTGAGCTGAGATTGTGCCACTGCACTCCACCCTGGGCAATAAAGTGAAACTGTGTCTCAAAAAAAAAATATATATATATATATATATACACACACACACACACACATATATATATGTAGGCCGGGCGCAGTGGCTCACGCCTATAAGCCCAGCACTTTCGGAGGCCAAGGTGGGCAGATCATGAGGTCAGGAGATCAAGACCATACTGGCTAACATGGTGAAACCCCCTGTCTACTAAAAATTCAAAAAATCAGCTGGGCGTGGTGGCAGGCGCCTGTAATCCCAGCTACTTGGGAGGCTAAGGTAGGAGAATCGCTTGAACCCAGGAGGCAGAGGTTGCAGTGAGCCGAGATCGTGCCACTGCACTCCAGCCTGGGTGACAGAGGGAGGTGTGATCTAAAAATAAATAAATAAATAAATAAATAAATAAATAAATAAAAAATAAGTATCAGGTTTTCATAAATTGCTCACAGAATCCATAGTTTTATTTTAGGAGCCATTTTAGGTCCATATATGTTAAAAAATAAAAAGCTCTATTTAGACATAAAATATATTTTTCCCCCAGAGGAGACTGTTTGGCGATGGCACAGCCTGTGCAGGCGCTGCTGACCTGCCGCTCCATCTGGCCCTGACACTCGCTCTTCAAGGCCTTGAGCAGGGCTTCCAGGCGCTGCACCTCCATGTTCCGGTCGTCCAGTTCCCGCCGTAGATGGTCAATGGTGATGCTGTTGCCTGTGTCTCGGTCCCACAGACGCTTATTCTGCTCCTTCTCCAGACTCAGCTCCTTCTCCCTTTTGTGTAGATCAGCCTAAAAAAAGAGAGGAATGCTTTTTTCCACCCTGCTATTAAATAATTAAGATAAAATATATTGTGTTTATATCATATTTGGAGTTTTTATGTGATTTCAGACACTTTTGATTTTAGAATCTGATTCCTTTTTAATGGTTTAAGAGCAATTATTTCCAAGAAAAATAAGTTAACATGTTGCTTAAAATTTCTAGCATTACAAGTCTATCTTGAGGGACTAGACCTCAAATAACATATAAGGAAAAGGAAAATACAGTAGATTTTAAAAGTGTCCTGTTTTTAAGTCTTGCATTTTCTAAGAAAGACATTATGCCTCACATCAAGTATGCTCCTATAATAAAGAAATGCTCAAAAGCATAAAGGAAAAATGATAAGTAATGGAGAAATGGCAGAATAGTGGCTGGTGTTGGAATTGGAGTAGGATCTGGGCTGTGAATAGAATTACCTCCCTTTTCAGTTGCTTAAAAAATACATAGTGTTGAATAGGAGCAAAAACTACAGTCAGACTAGTAAAAACAAAGATCTATCTATGCTCAAATGACTTATGATCCAAGAGAAAGTTAAGACATAGACACAAGTAACTGGAAGCGGTTTTTCATTAAAAGAACAAAGATAAGGAATAACACACAGAATCTCACTAAAGGGATCAAAATGCTTCAGGATAGTATTTGAGTTAGACCTGAAGATGCAGAGATGAGGAAGAAGGGACAGGAAAGGGGCCTGTGTGTTTGCATGGCGCACTGGGTCCAGGTAGACAGAAAGGACTGGAAAGGTTAGCAGGGTTATGGATCACGAACAGTACTGAAAGGGAGGGTGTCTGATTTTACGGAGAAAGTAATTTTGAGTTGAAGAGTGACATTACTGGAGCTACATTTTAGAGAGATGTATGTGGCAGCCCTTTACAGGAAGGAGTGAAGAGGAGAAAAACTGGAGTTGGGAACATCAGTTAGGAGACTGCCGTGCTCCAGGCGATGAGTAATGAAGGGCTAAGCGGGGCAGTGACGGTAAGAATGAAAAGGGAGGCCAGGTTTGAGGATCTTTCAGACATTCAGTCTCCAAGATTTTCAAATTAGATAGGAGAACACTGAGAAACATGCAAATGTTAGGTAAAGAACTGAAGAATTATGCCAAGGTTAAGAGCTTCTCTACACAGCTCTCAGTTCTATCCTTACCTCAGCTCATCAAACCCTTATCAGCCTGCGAAGGATGGCTTTACCAGCAAAGAGCACAATTCCCTGCAATGGGGTTTGGTAAGCCGAGAAATTTATTCTGTTATACCACTAATACCACAAAAGGGGGTTCCAAACATTTCCTTTCCTAAAATCTCATCCTATAGTTCCTCCAACAGAGGACAGAGTTGCTTCATTATGAGCACCATCACACTGTCCTTTGCTTTTAAAACAACTTCACCTAACCGTCCATTCCAAATTTCTATGTACACAATTTGAAGGTGTTCTGAATGTTATTTGGCCTTAAAATGAACATGTGACATGACTTCAATTTAATGGAATATGGTATCTACTTGAAAGACTATGACAACGTCAAGATCTCCTTCACCTAATACTGTAATAGCTCTGCTTAAGAAAAAAATTAAGTATACAGAATATTATATTTTATATGTAAAACTTGAATTGTGTCTAAAATAATCTATTGCATGTATGCACAAATTGGTAATTTTATAAAGGAAACAAGTTTTGTGACATATTTTGGTGAAAAACTTCGCAGAATTTGTCTTATTCATATTTTAAAGCATAATCTTACCAACAGCTTTTGAAGTTGATCATCTAGATTTCCAGATTCCTGACTGAATTGATCACGCTCTGTCCGGGCTTCAGTAAGCTCTGAGTTGGCAAGGACTAACTGCTTTTCCAACTCTTCTATCTGAAAGGAAAGTACAAATTTAACAGTGTCTGATTATGACAGTGAGTAACATAAAATATAGACTTTGGAAAACAAATGGTATTATTTTGAGAACAAAAATAAAAGTTTATTGTGAGGCCGGGTGCAATGGCTCACACCTGTAATCCCAGCACTTTGGGAGGCTGAGGGAGGTGGATCACCTGAGGTCAGGATTTTGACACCAGCCCGGCCAACACGGCAAAACCCCATCTCTACTAAAAATACAAAAATTGGCCAGGCATGGTGGCAGGCACCTGTAATCCCAGTTACTTGGGAGGCTGAGACAAGAGAACTGCTTGAATCCAGGAGGCAGAGGTTGCAGTGAGTCAAGATCATGCAATTGCACTTCAGCCTGGGTGAAAAAGTGAAACTACATCTCAAAAAAAAAAAGTGTATTGTGATGTGTTTTGTAAAGTTTTTTTTTTTTTTTTTTAAAGAAAATCTATGCTATATTTAGCCAGGGAAATTAGACAAAATGAAATATTTAGTACTGTTGAATTTGGGAATTGCCCGTAATACATCTGTCTCCTGTTTTCATACTATTGAAGATTTATCTTCTGTGAAGACACGTTCTATAATTTGGTATTTAAGAAAGCTTGAGGGTTGGCCTATGCCTGTAATCCTTTGGGAGGCCAAGGCAGGAGGATCCCTCGAGCCCAGGAGTTCAAGACCAACCTAGGCAACATAGGGAGACCCCATCTCCACAAAAAATATTTTTTTAAAGATCAGGTGGGCATGGTGGTGCACACTTGTGGTCCCAGCTACTTGGGAGGCTGAAGTGGGAGGACTGCTTGAGCCTGGGTGGTTAGGGCTGCAGTGAGCCATGATTGCGTCCCTGCACTCCAGCCTGGATGACAGAGCAAAACTGTTTCAAAAAAAAAAGGAAGCTTGATATGGCATAAATAACATGAAGCAGAGCCTACACAAATGAACTGTATTATACTTAGAAGAGCTATTTTGCTTCAGAATATCAAAGCTTTGGTAATAAAAGGCAACGAATATGAAAAAATGAATGGTAACAAGTTATTAGCTATTGTCATTATTTTATATTCACTACTTTTTAAAGGATGAATTTATATATATTTATATTTACAGTCGGACAATTTATTTAACCATTCTAACCCTCATTTTGTTCAACTATTAATGTAAAATGGGAATAAAAGTACCAATTTTAGAGGATGTTAAAGTGCATTTTATTCCGACAAGGCAGCTGTTTGATCTGTTTAAATATGCATTTCTATGACACATGCCATAAAATGCATCACTGTTAATAGCATTTCTATAGTTCTTTTTTGAGATGGAGTCTCGCCCTGTCACCCAGGCTGGAGTGCAATGGCACGATCTCGGCTCACTGCAACCTCCACCTCCCGGGTTCAAATGATTCTCCTACCTCAGCCTCCCAAGTAGCTGGGATTACAGGTCCCCACCACCACGCTCAGCTAATTTTTGTATTTTTAGTAGAGATGGGGTTTTCCCATGTTGGCCGGGCTGGTCTCGAACTCCTGACCTCAGATGATCCACCCACCTCAGCCTCCCAAAGTGCTGGGATTACAGGTGTGAGCCACCATGCCCGGCCTCTATAGTTCTTAATGTCTAGGTTCAGTGTATGCTAAGAGGCTACGATCTCAGACTGTGGAGACTAAGGGTTTATATTTTAGCTGGGCTACACAATATCATAAATTAGATAATAAGATATTAAAACAATGAGAACATGTTGATACTTAGTTATATGGTGATACCTTATCTTTAACTGGGTATCTACCATTACTATTTTATCATCTACTTTCTAGTAATAGGAAATCTTTCATGTCTGCATAAATGCTACATATTCCTTCTTACCTTTAAGGTGTCTACGTAGAAGGTTTCCAATCTACTGTCAATAATAAAACCTGGTTTGGATGATGTACTATGATAAAACTTTCTTAACTAGAGAACATTTGACTAAGACTAACTTTTTCTTGACAACTTTCTAGTTTTACTACTATTTATTTTTAAAGATCTTCACTTATTCAACACATATTGAATTATATTATCTATACATACATATACACGTGTCTGTCTTTCATAATAATCAAATAATAGAAGTTATATATATCTACATATACATATATGACTAAGAAAGTACTAATACAGGACTATCAGTTTCCCATTTACCTACAGAAATCAGAATATTATCTTTAATATTTATATTGGCTATATTCCTAAACTGACTTTGTATCTGGCTGCATGCTAAGTATAAAAAGTAGTTCATAAGAATTAGGTACACATAAAATATTAGATTACTGTCTAAAATGTATTCCTAGACTCTAATAATCCAATAAAGTATTTTCCAGGAGGCTGAGGTGGGAGGATCACTTGAGACCAGGAGTTTGAGACCAGCCTGGGCTGCATAGTGAGACCCCATCTCTATAAAAATAAAAATAAAATTAGTGTGGCATGGTAGTGCATGCCTGTAGTTTTGGCTAGTCAGGAGGCTGAGGTGGGAGGCTCGCTTGAGCCTGGGAGTTTGAAGCCGTAGTGCGTCATGATCGTGCCACTGCACTCCACCCTTGGCAACGGAGTGAGACACTCTCTCTTAGAAAAAACAAAAAAGGACTTCTTGTGCTCCTTTTGGGGCATATATAGGAAAATAAATGAAAAAGCCCCATAAAAATTCAAGCTCTGTAACACAGGTAACTTCCTAAGAAAAATGAAGGAACAGTATCAGTTGATAAAATCTCTTCACTTTTATTAGTATCAGGAAAGACTAAATCAGTACACACTTAGTAAATACAGTAAGGGGAAGAACCACAAACGTTACTGTTACACAGTTATCATTTTGCCTGGCAAGGAATGGGTACATGAACATGATCCAACAGGCAACATGATCAGGCAGAGAGCCAAACACCTTAGGTTCTTGTCTAGTTTCTGTTACATAACTTATCTGTGTTTCCATTTTTTTAATCTATAATTGGAAAGAGTATTCTAGATGATCTCTCATGTTCCTTTCAATTCTAATACTTTTTTTCCATGAGAACAGTATTAATAAAGCTGAAATAATTTATTTTCCACCTGTCTTTTGAGCTATAAATTCAACAAGAACATTTCCAATTTGAATTAATCATATGATTAAAATAAATGTTTTCTACTCCTAGCCTGGCATAAACCATTTCTATTCTTGAGCAAAGAAAATAATTTGTATATATGCTTTAAAAGCTTAAATTAAGATTTTCTTTTTTGTCTGCTTTCACTTAAAAAAAAACTTCTGGATAATCATTTCACAACATCAAACTTGACATGAGACCAAATTTTAAAAACAAGGAAAAAGAAAAGAGCCAAGTCTTATCTTTCCATCTGTTTATTAAGTATAAGAAGTTCCTCCAGCCCCCTGCAGGAACATTTGTTTTGTGGTTGTCAGTACTGACTCAGCTGCTATAGCTCTGCTTTTACCTTTCACTTTTTAGAGTAAAAACATTTATATTAATCAATTAAAAAGATAAATAGAGAGTGAAAGGGAAAACCATTGAAGTAGCAGCTGAGTTGATATAAACAGCTGTAAAAAACACTACAAAGAAAAGCCTTTTCAAATACCCAGAATAAATATTGACATCTGAGATGTATTAAAGATTTTTTTCTTTTTCTTCTATTTTTACATAGTAGCACTGGTTTTCCCTTTCACCATCTATGAATGCACTTTTTGGTTTGGATCACTGGACAAATGAGTATTGGGATTTCATTCTAATCTCACATTGATTTTAGAGATATTGCCAATCATATCAAATCACACGAGGTTTGGTTTGTCTGTTGGTGGTGGTGGTTTCTGTTTTTCTGTGCTCAAAAAGACACAGCTATGGAGTAATAAGGGATGCTACAGGCCAGCATGGCGGTGCATTGGCAGAACTATGCAGAGGTTTGCACAGAATCTTCCTGCACAGTATATAGCTCCAGCCAGTGCTACTAAATCATCACTTTTTTAATAGAAAATTCAGCCCCAACTGCTTTCAAAGTAGTAAAAATAAACGTTGAATCAAGATCATGAGGTATTTTTGTTGTCAAAAAGCGAAAGTTAAGAGTAAAGCCAAATCTACAGAGCCAATAGTGACAGCTTCTACTGGTCCAAATTCGTAAAGGGGAATTCTGGAGGTTCTCCTAAAATGGAAAGAGAAGAATAGAAAACAGCATTACAGTAAAACATTTTGTAAGCTACAAAAGCTACATCTCACATTTTTTTTTGAAGTACAATTTCTATGTTCACAGCATAAAATAATTGTGTTATCTGAAGAGAAATATTAACTTCCAAAACAAGTTTTCTCTTAATTTATGCATCCTAGTTGGAAAAGTTTTGTTTAGACCGCCATGTCATCAATTTTTAAAAATAAAAACACTTTTTAAAATGAAGAAATCTGACCTCATGAGAAAATACTAATACTGCCCCTCATAAAACATGTTGATGTTTAATATCAACACACTTTTATTAGTTTCCTTTCACACAAATCTCACCTTTTTTTTTTTTTTTTTCTGAGACAGGGCCACACTCTGTTGCCCAGGCTAAAGTTAGTGGTGTGATCATGGCTCACTACAGCCTCAATCTCCCAGCCTCAAGCTATCCTCCCATTTTAGCCTTTCTAGTAGTGAGGACTACAGGCTCACGCTACCATGCCCAGCTAACTTTTTATTTTGTTTTTATTTTTGTAAAGACAGAGTTCCACTATGTTGCCCAGGTTTGTCTCAAGCTCCTGGGCTCAAGTGATCCTCCTATCTCAGCCTTCCAAAGTGCTGGGATTATGGGTGTAAGCCACTGCACCTGGCCACGAATTTCATTTTAATCACAGCTTTTACGTAGTATTTCCTTTGATATTTTTCCTTGTTGTTATTTGAATAGTACATACCGAAATATGCACTGAAGCAACAGAGAAAAATAGATTTTAAGGTTTTAATAAGCTTTAGCAATGTCAAGTTGCATGAAAATAAAAATTAAGCAGAATAATTTGTTTTTAGATTTTATATTCAATTCATTATAACAAAAACATTTTATAACAATACAATTTTTTATGATCCCAAGTGAAATCCTTGTTATTCACTTGTTTGATTTTCCTTGCTCAGCTACACCATGTAATTAACGTCACCTTAGGCCAGAGTGTACTTAGCTATATTTACATGGCAGTCATCTCTCAGTGCTCCCTGACCAAATCAAAGGGAGTTACTGTTAAGACAGTCTAGTTAACCATCAACTTGGTGCCAACTCTATTTAGGGTCACTGTGGTGTATTATAAATCTCAGTGATTTACTAAAACTAATGAAGCTGATATGCCCTCCTTATTTCCGTTAGCTGTTTACTATTTAAGACTGTCAAAAATTCTTGCTGAGCCACTATTTACATTAGAGCAAAATCAGAGAATGATTCTAATATCATGTTTGTATCTATATGACTCCAAAACATTCATGTAAAAAGCTTGCAGTCATTCATCTGGATCTCGTGCTTCTATAATGCCAGAGATTTAAATGCTTATAAAAACTTAGAAATTCTTTTTACATATTTTAGATGGATATTTCAGTATCTGTGAAAAAATTTCCCAATTATGTCCAAATCAGCATGATACTACATATTGGGCCAAATGCAAATTAGCAAACAATGGGTGAGGCTTCAGAAAGGATAATTTTTCCAAACAACAGTATACTGGAAAGCTATACCAGTTACCAATCATGTAAGAAACCACAGGTGAGTTGAGCTTTATTTAGTACTTTGGTGGCTTTTCATAAAGTTTGTCAATAGACAATGGATACTTAATTTTTCCAAAATGATTTGTGATTATTCATGAATATGCATTACTATATTGGACTGTAACACAACAGCTCTCTTATTTCCTCTCTCACTGTCAGAATGTCAGCTCTCACTTCTGCCAGAGTGGCTACCGCCACCAGACCCAAGTGAAAAAGCACCCTCCCACCCCATGGTGCACTGAAATCAGCCCCTCCTGCTGTTGTCTGCAGGGTGCGGTCATGACCTTTTGGTATAGGCTTGGTCTGCCCAGACTGCTATCAATCATCAGGGGAAAAGCTTGTCCTGAGAAAAGAAACTAGAACACAAAAAGCAGGCTTCAGAGAGGCAGAGAAAAGCGTATGCTCCTCTCTGACCTTTTGTTTGTCGAGTGTACCCTTTAAGTGGTCTAAGGTCCCTTAAGGTTGCTCAGAGGTGGCACTGGTTGAAATAACATTGCCACAAGGATTTAGGTTAAGGGTTATGCAAGGAGGTTTTACAAAACGAGGCAGTGTTATTCAAACTGCAACCCACCAATAAATTATGAAATCAATTTAGTGAGCTTCAAATCAGCATCTGAAGAGAAGAGAAAATAGCCAGCATCACATGTCATAGGAGTAAATATTGTTTTATGAATCTTGCTTCAGTTGCATGTGTGTATTGGGTCATAAGATGAACTATATTTCTTACTGTGAGTAGCAATGGAAAATATTTGGAAGACACTGCTGTAAAGGACCCACACCTATAACTGAGATTATACAGTTTCGTGTTACTCTCTATGGCTTAGACTTTAGTAAAGTCATGTCTAAATTCCACCCTCAGCTTAGATAAAGGTTGAGGTATCTTATTTCCATGCTCGAACCAAGGAGAAACAGCCCCCTCCTGTGGCCGGCTGGAGTGATAATTAAAATGAGGGGTTGCCCAAAGAAGGGCAAAGGTCTAGAAGAATTCGTGTTGCAATATATAATTCTTCCCATATGGAGCTTTCCTCCACGTACTGTTACCCTATAGAATTGGTTTCATTTTATAAAGGTATATGGCAGCTTCCTTATACTCTCTTTCTTCTAACCTACTGCTCCAAATAGCTAAGGTGTGAGAAACTGACTACAAGTGACAGAACTGTACGTAAATTGTTTCTGCATGGCTATCTAAGGGTCTCTTACAGGTAGGATGACTAAATATAGACTTTATCTTCCAAATGGGGACACTATGGAGATGAGAGGTAGCATTCATAAAACAGGACACTGGGCTAGCAGGTGTAAACCGAGACTGTCCCAGGGAAGCAGCCTTGGGTGACCACCCTTCTTACAGGGAATGAAGAACACCACTCCTCTTAATGGTAGCTCCTTGTGTGTTTTTTAGGGTCTTACTGTTATACAAATGATTGAAATGAACAAAATCCTAAGCTCTGGATAAACAGATGACAATGATACTGAATAGCTTCTCATTAGCTATGGAAAGTGAAAGAAAAAACCAGAATATCAAATATTAATTAATGTAGTTTTAAAGTGAATTACATGATGAGAGATGAAGACTTATCTTCCTAATTAATTTTTATGTAATTAATTCATTTAATTATTCTTAAAGTTAATTCAGTTTGGTAACTTCACAATGATTAAGAGTTAGGAGTTGAAGTAAGAGAGGAGTTAGGCCCCAAAAATATTGAGTAGCAGGGGGATCTGGCTGGTATGGAAGTATATGCTAAAGGTTAGCTAAGTAAAAATAATTAAGATGGTCTTATTTTTAATGTATTTTTTTAGAAACTTACTTGAACTATGCAAAAAATGTTTTGCTAAGAATGAATCAGAGTACATAATTTAAATAAAAATTGTTTATAGTTTAAAATATAATTTAGCATGCTCTTACTCCAGCTTATAAACTGCTTTTAATTTGAAATTACTTTGATTCCTTATTTTCAAATAAACTATTAATAACATAATATTGATTCTGGCTATTATAGTCTCTAGAAGCAGAGCAGCAAAACCTAAACTCACCTTGTCTTCATACATCCTTTTGGCTTCCCTTAATTCAGAACGTAGCTGAGAAACAGTAGATTCCAGATCACTGAGCTGACGCATATACATAGAGTTTTGATTTCTTGCTTGCTCTCTAAGAAGAGTTTAGAAGGAGAATAAATGCAAATAGCAAACTAAGAATAAGAGTAACAGCTGAGTATTCTAGCTTTTTGACACTACCACTAGTTATTTTATATGGCACTATTAAGCCAATAGTCTTTTATTTTCCAAAATTGACTCAAAAGCTTCAGCTCAAATATATTGTAAACCGCAGAAGCTGGGTGACAGCTGTATGGGAGTACATTACACTATTTTCTCTCTACTTTTGTATATGATGGAAAATGTCCATATAAAAAGTTTTAACATACAACTCAAATAAAATAATTTCTATGCATATGCACACATTTTACTTATATTCATATATATTGCACACACACACACATACATACATACACACACACACACAGATACGGTTTGGTTCTGTGTCCCCACCCAAATCTCATGTCAAATTGTAATCCCCACACGTCAGGGGAGGGACCTAGTGGGAGGTGATTGGATCGTGGGGGCAGACTTCCCCCATGCTGTTCTCATGCTAGTGAGTGAGTTCTCACAACATCTGATGGTTTATATGGCACTTCCCTGCTTTCCTGTTCCATCATGGTAAGACGTGCTTGCTTTCCCCATGATTGTAAGTTTCCTGAGGCCTCCCAGTCATGATTCCTGTTAAACTTGTGGAACTGTGAGTCAACTAAACTTCTTTTCTTCATAAATTACCCAGTCTTGCACAGTTCTTTATAGTAGTGTAAGAATGGATTAATACAGAAAACTGGTACCAGGAGAGTAGGGCACTGCTACAAAGACACCTGAAAATATGAAAGTGACTTTGGAACTAGGTAACAGGCAGAGGTTGGAACAGTTTGGAGGGATCAGAAGAAGACAGAAAGATGAGGGAAAGTTTGGAACTTCCTAGAGACTTGTTGAATGGTTGTGACCAAAATGCTGATAGTGATATGGACAATGAGTCCAGGCTGAGGTGGTCTCAGATGGAGATGAGGAACTTCTTGGGAACTGGAGTAAAGATCACTCTTACTATGCTTTAGCAAAGACACTGGTAGCATTTTGCCCCTGCCCTAAAGATCTGTGGAACTTTGATCATGACAGATATGATTCAGGGTATCTGGCAGAAGAAATTTCTAAGCAGCAAAGCATTCAAGATGTCACCTGACTGTTTCTGAAAGCATACAGTCATATGTATTCACAAAGAGAGGTCTGAAACTGGAACTTATGTTTAAAAGGGAAGCACAGTGTAAAAGTTGGAAAAATTTGCAGCCTGATGTAAAAGAAAAACCCATTTTCTGGGGACAAATTCAAGCTGCCGGCTGTAGAAATTTGCATAAGTAAAGAAGAGGTGCAAGACAATGGGGAAAACATCTCCAGAGCATGTCAGAGATCTTTAGGCAGCCCCTTCCATCACAGGCCTGGTGACTTAGGAGGAAAAAATGCTTTTGTGAGCCAGGGCCCACTCCACTGCTCTGTGCATCCTCAGTACCTGGCACCCTGTGTCCCAGTTGCTCCAGCTCCAGCTGTGGCTAAAAGGAGCCAAGGTACAGCTTGGGCTGTTGCTTCAGAGAGTGCAAGCCCCAAGACTAGGCAGCTTCCACATGGTGTTGAGCCTGCAGGTGCACAGAAAGCAAGAGTTGAGGTTTGGGAACCTCTGCCTAGATTTCACAGCATGTATGGAAATGCCTGGATGTTCAGGCAGACATCGGTTGCAGGAGTAGAGCCCTCATGGGGAATCTCTACTAGGGTAATGTGGAGGGGAAATGTGGGGTTGGAACCCCCACACAGAGTCCCCACTGGCACACTGCCTAGTGGAGCTGTGAGAAGAGGGCCACTATCCTCCAGACCCCAGAATAGTAGATCCACAGGCAGCTTGCACTGTGCACATGGAAAAGCTACAGACACTCAATGCCAGCCTGTGAAAGCAGCCGCAGAGCCTGTACAATGCAGAGCAACAGAGGCAGAGCTGCCCAAGGCCTTGGGAGCCTCCACCTTGCATCAGTGTGCCCTGGATGTGAGACATGGAGTCAAAGGAGATTATTTTAGAGTTTTAAGATTTAATGACTGCCCAGCTGGATTTTGGACTTGCATGGGTCCTGAAGCCCCTTTGTTTTGGCCTATTTCTCCCATTTGGAATAAGAGCATTTACCCAATGCCTGTAACCCAATTGTATTTTGGAAGTAACAAACTTGTTTTTTATTTTACAGGCTCATAGGCAGAAGGGACTTATCTTGTCTCAGATGAGACTTTGGGTTGTGGATTTTTGAGTTAATGCTTAAATGAGTTAAGACTGGGGGACTGTTGAGAAGGGATAATTGTATTTTTTTTGTTTGTTTTTTTTGAGACAGAGTCTTGCACTGTCGCCCAGGTTGGAGTGCAGTCTCGGCTCACTGCAAGCTCTGCCTCCCAGGTTAATGCCATTCTCCTGCCTTAGCCTCCCGAGTAGCTGGGACTACAGGTGCTCGCCACCAAGCCCAGCTAATTTTTTGTATTTTTAGTGGAGACAGGGTTTCACTGTGTTAGCCAGGATGGTCTTAATCTCCTGACCTCGTGATCTGCCCTCCTCTCAGCCTCCCAAAGTGCTGGGATTACAGGCATGAGCCACCGCGTATGGCCAGTAGTTATATTTTAAAATGTGAGAAGGACATGATATTTGGAGATTACAAATCTGAATTGTAATCACGTGTCAGGGGAGGGGCCTGGTGGGAGGTAACTGGATCATGGCGGCAGATTTCCCCCATGATTTTCTCGTGATAGTGAGTGAGTTCTCATGAGATCTGATGGTTTAAAAGTGTGGCACGTCCCCACTCTCTCTCTCTCTTGCTTTGCCATGGTATGATGTGCTTGCTTCCCCTTTGCTTTCCGTCATAATTGTAAGTTTCCTGAGGCCTCCCACTCATGACTCCTGTTAAGCCTGTGGAACGCTGAGTCAATTAAATCTCTTTTCTTCATAAATTACCCAGTCTCAGGTAGTTCTTTATAGCAGTGTTAAGAATGGACTAATACAAATACTTAAAACAGCCAATCCCAGGAGCTCCAAATACTTGCAAAAATACTTCTTATATGGTCAGATAATGTTACCTATGTTAAGCAATATTTCCTGTTCATTTAAATGTTAGAAAAAAAGTTTTACTTTCTTATGAAATCTTACCAAGCAAATTCTAAAAGATTATAGAACAGAAAGTTAATGAAAATAATATCTCTAAAATGAAGATGAATGACTAACAGTTTAAATCACATACTGAATGATTTCCATTTGACTCTGGATACTATTGGCTTGGCTTCGAGCACTGCTAGCTTTCTCAGTAAGTCCTGTTATTTCAACTTCATGTTCACTTATTAACTGCTCAATCCTATAAAAAGAATGTGGTGATTGTTATTTGATACAGAAGATTTTCCTATGAATTATTTTTAAAATGAATGATTTTCAATACTCTCAAATTTAGTATTTTGCTTTACTTTTGTACATGCTACTCTTTTAATAACAAGTGTCTACAACAGGTCCAAAATCCTTTATCCAAATCTTTTGGGAGCCAGCTAGTTTTGGAATTCAGATTTTTTTTTTAGTTTACCTTGGTAATAAATTGCAAGTACTATATATTATATGATACCCCAAGTGAGATGTAGGGAAGCGTCCCATTAACCAAACATATTATGAATGCAACAATTTGCAAGTATTCACACTAAATCATAGACTATGGAAAGGGTTACATTAGCTCTGGTCAGGTTTTTCCAACAAATGAGTGACAAAAACTGTCTCCTTCACCAAACTTTGGTCAGGCTCTTCTGAGGCCTCTTTTCAACTATGCCTCAACCTTTGGCCTGCCTAGCCCAGACCTAGCAAGAATCTTGCTGAGTCAGTTTAGTCCTCCCACCCTCGATATCTGGTCAAGTTCTTCATCCGCTGCCTTTCATATCTAAGCCCTTGGCCTGAGTTTAGCAAGAATCCCCCTACTCTTGATGCCTTTTCTCAGTAATTTTCCATCGACAGACCCCCTCACCATGCCCTGTGGCTATAAATCCCTATTTGGCCTTGTACCGGAAGCTGAGCTTAATCTCTCTCTCTCCTATAGCAATACTCCTATTGTAATTGTCTCAAATAACACCTTCCTTACCATTTTAACCAGGGTCAGGAAAACAAAATTGTAACATGAGTTTCCTATAAACCTATAAAAAAAAACTTATGTGTTTCAGAGTGGTTTAGATTTTGGAATTGTGGCTGAAACACTGTAAAACTGTGGTTTAGTTTCACTAGGCTTTTCCATACCTCAGTCAGAAACCTACCTATCTTGATGTTGTTGCAGAAGTAGTTCCATTTTGTTCTGTGATTCAGATTTCAGTGCTTCAAGTTGATCCTCTACCTGGTTTTTAAAAAGAGACCCTGATTTAGTTACTGGTAAATATAAGGCTTGGAAAATCTGGATATTTTCAACTAAAGGAATGCTTTAAATGCAAATAGAAATAATACTAAAATCAAATACATTCTATCCCCATATTTTATTAGATCTTTTACTTTGTCTATACTGTCATGAAGCTATACAGGTAAACCAAGGTAGTTCCTATTATGAGAGATTATTGTGGAAGTAACTTCTGTTATTTCAGAAAAATGAGAACTTAGCTTATTTTAAGAATTTTAAAAATTACACATCTAATGCTATTCTCTTCATGCATTTTAATATAAAATTATTGAAGTAGCATTCTCACCACTTACTGGAAATATCCTCCCTTTAAGAAAAGAAATCTCTGTGTCTAATTCTCTTAGGATTTTACTAATAGCTGAGCCCAAGCTGCGGAAGTGCAGAGTAGACATGCTGTCATGTTCATATATTTTTTTGCCTGAGGCTTCTTCAAAGTCAACCAGGATTGACCGGATTTCCTGAAGCACTCCCTCATGACTAAGCATCATTTTTCGTAGTTGCTCTATCTGTGTATTGCTGTCTTTCAGCATGTCCTCCTTAAGGCATTTGGCAGCTTCAAGTTCATGAACTGTATTTTGAAGCTGATTTCTTAAATCCTCCTGGGACTGACTCTCCCTTCGTCTATGAAATAAATGAAAGAAAATAAATAACATTGATAAAACTCATATTCACACAAGTAGTTTTACTACAAACAGTAAAACTTTAAAATAATTTCACATAATGAAAATGTGACTTTAAAATAATTTCACAAATCCCAACCTGATGTCAGCCATAGCATCTCTCTCCATTTGCATCTCCTGAAGTTTTGTTTGCAAATCAATGACTGACTGCCTCAAATAAAACTTTTGTTTCTCATGCAATTCATTGCTCTGAAAAAAAAGCCATGCAAATTAATCTTTATTAGAGAAACACATTTCCTTATAGCTAGTAAGTTCCAAAAATCTATATATATTTTCAATTCATTTTTATGTCTACTTCCTTCCCTCACTGCTGCAGTTCAAAGACTAATTAATAATTTCTCACTTAGATTACGAGAATACCTTAACTAGTCTCCCTGTATCAAGCTTGACCCCGTTTAATCTATTCTCTACAACCAAAACTCTGCTTCTAAAACAAATCTTACTTCCAGCTCAACATGGAAATAAGAATACATTTTTTACATGAAAACATGAGAATTGGTTGAAATTCTGTACATAAAGAAGTCAATCCCTACCTCCTACCCTCTTAAAATACCTGGCAGCAGACATCACCACCCAAAACTCCAGGTATCCTACTACAGAGAAATACACAAAGATTTCTAAGATCAGGCACTGAGGGATCTCCCAGCACAGGAGATGCTGCAGAAGATGCTCCCGTACATAGTTGATGCCATACCTAATCCTCCCACAGCAAAGCCATCAAGTTCTGCCCATGAATAGAGAGTTTGCCATCAGTCCTTTTTATTGTCTAACGCTTGAATATAAACAGAAAACCAAAAACTGCTGAACACTTGAAGAAAAATCACAAAGTAATACATAGATCAATATCAAATAAACAAGCAAACACCCAGAAAAAAAGAAGAACCAGAGGTAACAAAGAAAGATAATGCAAGGAATAGAAGAACACTTCAAAAACTTGTATTTACAGAGAAATTCAAGAGACATCATCAGCATAAAGCAAGAATAAGATGCTATGCCACAGAAGTGATCAGAGGAGAAAGGGTCATGAAAATTTAAAAAATATGGTTGTAAATGAAAAAGTTCAATTCAATAGAAATATTGCAAGTCAAGAAATGTCCTCCAAAGGTAGAAAAAGTAGACAAATTTTTGAAACAAAAAGTAAGAGATGTAGAGATTTAACTGAGGTGAAAGTATGTTTCCAACAGGAACTTTGGAAAGACAGAACTGAAAAAACAGAAGAAGGGAAACTGCCAAAGAAAAAACGCAACTGAATTCCTCCAAACTGAAAGGCACACATCTACGGACAAATAGGTCTACTGAGTCCCTAGCATGGTGAATGAAAAAACAAAAATTCATACCTAAGTACATTATGGTGGCATTTCAGAGACAAAGAAAAGATGTTAAAGATGAAATTCAAGTAAGTAAAAAATAAAAAATCATCTACAAAGGAACAAGAACCGGATATACATCTCAATAGTGATACTGAATGCAAAAGCACAATATCTTCAAAAGATTGAGAGAAATTACTTTCAACTTTACCGAGCCAATTATCAATCAAGTGTGAGTGTAAAATAGAGTCATTCTCAGACATGCAAAGATTCATAAAATGTATCTCTTTCTTAAGAATTTAACAGTTTATTAAGAATTTAACAAAGACGTGTTTTGACTAAATGAAGAAGTAGATCAAGGAAGAAGACAGGAGAGGCTGGAGGCAGAGCAAGATGGTGGAATAGAAGCCTACACCATTCATTCCCTCACACCTGCCACCCCCGATGGGAACACCAAATTTTAAAAACTATCTGCACACAGAAAAGCACCATCACAAGAACACAAAAGTCAAGTGAAAAATAGTGAGGCAGGAAAATAGGGTCTGGAGGCAGGGAACATAAGGCTGATTCACACTTCAGCCGTGACAGGAAATATCCTCTCCTTAGGGTGTAGGATGTAAATGACTTTGTAATTTTATTTCATTTTCCTCATTTACATAGGGCATACCCCCAAGTAACCAATGGAATCCTCTAGGGAGTATTTAAACTCCCAGAAATTCTCTAACGGGGCTTTTGAGTTCCTATGCTTAGGCCCACTCCCACACTGTGGAGTGTACTTTCATTTTCAATAAATTCCTTCATTCCTTCCTTGGTTTGTGTGTTTTGTCCAATTCTTTGTTCAAGGCGCCAAGAACCTGGACACCCTCCACCATTAAAAATAGTACCTGGTTTTAATTCATATGGTGGAAGGAGGCATTGAGGAGGGCAGGAGAGACAGTCTCGAATCTCCAACGCCACCCCTTTCACCATCTCCCAGCAGTGGCTATGCAGAGGATCTGCGTAGGGGAGGGAGAGCACAGCAATGGGGGGATTTTATATTTAATTCAGTGCTGCCCCATCAGAGGGGAGAATCAAGCCATGCTGGGCTTAGAGGGAGCATTCGAACCAGCCCTAGTCAGGGGGGAATCGTCCATTTCAGTGGTCAGAACTCAAGTTTCTCAGCAAGCCTCACCACCGCTGAGTGCACTGGGGTCCTAGGTAAATTTGAAAGGCAGCCTAGGACACAAGGACTGCAATTCTTAGGCAATTCCTAGTGCTAGGCTGGGCTTAGAGCCAGTAAACTAGGGTGGCATGTGACCTAAGGAGACCCAAGCTGGTGTGGTTAAGGGAGTGCTTGCACAATCCCTTTCCCAACCCCAGACAGTGCAGCTTGCAGCAACAAAAGTGACTCCTTCCTTCTACTTGAGGAGAGGAGAGCAAAGTGTAAAAAGGACTTTGTCTTGCATGTTAGATACCAGTTCAGCCACAGTAGGGTAGGGCAGTGGGCAGAGTCATGAGGTCCCCATTCCAAGACCCACCTCCTGGACAACAATTCAAGATACACCCTGGGCCAAAAGGGAACCCATTACCTTGAAGGGAAGAACGCAGTCCTGGAAGGGTTCATTACCTGCTGACTAAAGAGTCCTTGGGGACCAGGCATGGTGGCTAACACCTGTAATTCCAGCACTTTGAGAAGCCGAGGTGGGCAGATCATTTGAGCTCAGGAGTTCAAGACCAGCCTGACCAACATGGTGAAACCCTGTCTCTACTAAAAATCCAAAAAAACAGGCTGGGCGCGGTAGCTCACGCCTGTAATCCCAGCACTTTGGGAGGCCGAGGTGGGCATCATGAGGTCAGGAGTTCGAGACCAGCCTGGCCAAGATGGTGAAACCCTGTCTCTACTAGAAATACAAAAATTAGCCAGGCGTGGTGGCGTGTGCCTGTAGTCCAAGCTACTCAGGAGGCTGAGGCAGGAGAATCGCTTGTACCTGGGAGGCAGAGGTTGCAGTGAGCTGAGATTGCGCCACTGCACTCCAGCCTGGGTGACAAAGAGAGACTCTGTCTCAAAAAACAAAACAAAACAAAACAAAAAACCCAAAACAAAAAAATTAGCCGGGCATGGTGGCGCATGCCTGTAGTCTCAGGTACTTAGGGGGCTGAGGCAGGAGAATCATTTGAACCCGGGAGGCAGAAGTTGTAGTGAGCTGAGATGGCACCACTGCACTCCAGCCTGGGTGACAGAACATGACTCCATCTCAAAAAATAATAAAAATAAAAATAATAAAAATAAAGAACCCTTGGGCCCTGAATAACCAGCAGTGATGCCCTGAGAGTACGCTTTTGGCCTTGGACTCTGAGATGTGCTGGCTTCAGGAGTGACCTAGCACATTCCCAGCTATGGTGGCTACAGTGAAAGACTCCTTCTGTTTGAGAAAAGCAGAGGGAAAAGTAAAGGAGACTTTGTCTTACACCCTAGATACCAGCTTAGCCACAGTGGGTAGAGCAACAAGCAGGCTCTTGGAGTCTCCAAGTCCAGGACTATGCATTTGGACCTGGGCAGGGCAGCATTTCTGGACCTGTCCTGTGTCAGAAGGGAACCCAGTGCCCTAAAGGGTGAGTCCCAGGGCTGGCAACATTCACCACAAGCTAATCGAAGAGTCCTTGGCTTTAAGTGAACATCAGTGGTGGAAGGGCAGAAACCCCAAGGACTAGTGGTGGTCGTGGCCACAGGGAGAAGCTCTTCTGCCTTTGGAAAGGGGAGGAAAGAATGGGAAGGACTTTGTATTGTGGTTTGACTGCCAGCTTAGCCGTAGTAGAATAGAATATGAGGTAAACTGCTAAGGTATTTGGATCCAAATCCTGGCTCCCGGACAGCACATCCGGACATGTACAGGACCTGGGGGATCTCACCACCCTGAAGGGAAGGACCTTGGACAAGACTCGGTACAGTGCTGACTTCAGGTCTGACCCATCACATTCCCAGTGTTGGCAGCCACAGGAGTGCTTGCATAACCACACCCCCAGTTCCACGTGGGTCAGCACCGAGAGGGAGAGAGACAGAGAAACTCCATATGTTTGGGAGAAAGGTAAGAGAAAAGAACAAGAGTCTCTGCCTGGTAATCCAGAGAATTCTTCCAGATCTTATCCAAGACCACCAAGGCAGTACCTCTATGAGTCTGCAAAAACCACAGCGTTATTAGGCTTGGGGTTTTGAATACCTGGAAAGCCTTCCTGAGAAGGACAGGCACAAATAAGCTCAACTGTGAAGACTACCACAAATAACTAACTTCAATGCCCAGACACCAAAGTACATCTACAAGCATCAACACCATCCAGGAAAACATGACCTCACTAAATGAACTAAGTAAGGTACCAGGGACCAATCCTGAAAAATCAGAGGTATATAACTTTTCAGACAGATAATTCAAAGTATCTGTTTTGAGGAAATTCAAAGAAATTAAAGACAACTCAGAAAAAGAATTCAGAATTCTATCAGATAAATTTAACAAAGAGATTAAAATAATTACAAAGAATCAAGCAGAAATATTAGAATTGAAAAATGCAATTGATGTGCTGAAGAATGCGTGAGTCTCTTAATACCAGAAATGATCAAGCAGAAGAAAGAATTAGTCAGAAGACAGGCTATTTGAAAATATACAGTCAGAGGAAACAAAATAAAAAAGAAAAGAAAACAATGAAGCACACCTACAAGATCTAGAAAATGGCCTCAAAAGGGCAAATCTAACTTATTGGCCTTAAAAGGGAGTTAGAGAAAGAGATAGGGGTAGAAAGTTTATTAAAAGGGAAAGTATCAGAGAACTTCCCAACCCTAGAGAAAAATACCAACATTGAAGTACAAGGTTACAGAACATCAAGCAGATTTAACTCAAAGAAGACTATCTC